CACTCATCATGTTAATCAAAGTCACAAATATTTTCTCACGTGTTCGAAAATCTGTTCTAGATCCATTTCTAGATATAATTTTGCACAAACTATAATTAATAGCTGTTAATTAAAGGCAAGGTAATCATGTGTTCTAATAGATTTCCTTGATTATAACGTTTATTAATGTGATTTTAGGCTACGCATTTTGCCTTAGTCAATGTTCACCAATGTAACTTGACATAAATCACAAATCATAATTTGTGATCTATCACTATTAAATGTGTAATTTATATATTTGTCATACAGTACAAACAAACAACCTTGGTTTAATACCAATTCAAACAATAAAGTCAGCTGAAGATCTAATTCATACCAATTGTTGCTTACTCCTATTTCTTACTCAAAAACACACATAGTTGGTTTATTTTCAAATATTACCTGTAAGTAACAGTGTCTTGTAAAGCTATTGGTTTTTTTACCTCTTTACATATAGACCATTACCAGGTCACTTAGTAAATAATTTAAAGGGAATGTGATTTTACAAAATCATTTACAGAAATCATAAAACAAATTTGAATGTTGCCAATTATCATTTCACGATCATTCCTAGCGCGATTTTCAAGTACCGGTTAGTCGACATTGAATTTATTATATTTTACTTAAAGCGTGTTTTTTTATTAATTTTTTGAAAACCAACGTCGATGCATTTCAGAGCACATGCTGAAGTCTTTAAAAATGACGTTCAAACTATAATGATCATATTTTAGACTTTTTGAAGTGATATAATGCAAACTATTTTAAACATATTTCATTAAGTTCTACTAAAACGGTTTCTGTAAAAAGTAATTAGTAATGTTTTGGACATCTGAGTTGATGTTCTCTGAGAAATTCGCAATTTTTCTAATCCCATTTATGAGCAAGTCGGCCTTTTTCTTCATTATAGACAAAAACTTTGTCCTCGTTACTTCATATGTGACTAGTTATCTTTACTAGATCGTAAATGTGTATAAATCATAGCAGTTCATCTTGTATACTATTCCACGTAAACTTATTTTTTTTTAATGAAGCCTCAGGAATTTTAAACAGATTTAAGTTTGGTTTAGAAAAACGTTTTTATTACTGGTACTAAAATAGTTACAGTGTTTGATTAAAACTTCATTGTATAGAATTTGGAAACCCATGATCCGTCTAATGAAAAATATGTTTGTATACAGTTCATGAGTTATTACTTATGACAAATATTTTGAGCATTCTCATATGGATACAGAGTAAAATTCTAAAAGTTTTGTCAGTTTATTTGGCACAAAACTTTATCATAAACATGATTTATTATTTTTTTCTTAAAAACATTTTATTTTTATGGTAAAAAGTTCATTTTTATTCCATGGATGCATTTTTATTTAACTCATAAACGTATACTTTATAATTCCAAGATATGTTTAAAGGTTTGACTATTTTTAGCTGCAAACAGTTTGTTAATTTCAGACTTGTTGTATCGTTAAGATTTACCTGACATAAAGTTCTTCCTACAAAATGCTTTAACAATGAATAAAAGATTTTGCTTATAACAGTCAACAATATCAAAAGCTTATTACGCTATACGGTCGAGTTGTTGGATTTAAAAATCATAGGCTATTATACACTGAATCAGTGGCTCAATGTTATTATTCTCGGCTAAAGTACTTCGTAACATTTCCGCTTTTTACGACGGTGGATTATGATCTAAGAAAGGTAAAGGATACATTTATGCCTTGAATAACAAATCACAACTCTCTTTAAAATGTTACTTAAGTAAGTTGGAAATACAGACTGAGTATTGCTGAGGTTAAGAGTGCATCATTTGGGAACCTTCATCGATTGACATGTGACTTTTCAACACTGCATAATTTGTCTGACGACGGTGGAGAAAAGGCAGGACTGAATAGATCAAGACATAAGATCAATTCATGAAGTCTATGATTGTTGGCTGAATTAGTTTTAGAAAATGCATGATGGCCATGGTTTGTATTTGGAGACATTAGATAATATAGTCTAAATGTTTTGCATTAATATAGCAACTCCCATTCCTTATCTTCGCGAAATTAATGACAGTCATTTTCTTCTTCGGCCTTATTCATTCCTTTTTATCATTGACTTTTATGTGCAACTAATTACATCAGTTGGTATACTTCTACATTTATTTTGTCAGTCTATATACTTGCTCTGCTGATGCGAGATGTGGTTTTACACAGATATACATTCATGTCAAGTACCATATTTACTATGACTGACCAACTATCATATGGTTACATTTCGTAGGATATTTTTTCATCCTGATAAAAAATTGAAATATTCATAATTTTTTCATTTAGCGCTATATTTCTGAATAATTCAAACAATAGGCATTTTATAGATGCTGGGTTATTTTACTTAAACATTTTCAGCATGAAATTTTCATTACCATACAAAATAAGTTATTATTCCCTTATCGAAAAATTCTAATTTATCAGCACTTCTCTAAGTATGCACTGATAATGTACCTTCCAGTTCAAAATTTCTTTTGAAACAGCTAGCCTGTACTTCCTGGCCTTAATGCATAATTTAATATTTTCAGATCACCTCATAAATAATCTTCTTTTCGTTGAATTAGTGTACAATAGTTTTGACTATTTGAAAAAACTCTTGAAAGCATAAAAAGTAAGAAAAATTAACAGGATCCCTTTATTAATGAGAAAACTGCAGCTGTTGCAGTCTGAAATGATCCACTTTATGTGAATATACATTGTTGATTGCAGACATATTTCTGTAATAAGGTTTCTGAGTTTGGACCTGAGAAGTGATCACTCTGGACAAAAGGAGTATCTAATCGTTACTCTAGTACAGCATGTATATTCCTCCAGATGCCTTAGTACAGCCTAGAGTAGACGGAGTCCACTCTGTCACTGGAAATGCTCTCATATATAGTCACGCACTTAAAGCTACCGCCAAGGAAGTCCTAATCACTGCCTTCTCGTAGTGAGGGTGTTTATTTTCAAAAGTGAAATGACGAAGAGAGAATGTTCGGCGCTAAAATTGAATTGTTGTATACAAAGGATCTACCTAGGGGGAGTTAGGAGACCCTGACTACAAACCACTGGTGCATATTGGGCTCCAGGAACTTAAATAATAAATAGTGTATGAACCTGTTGTTGATCGCTGGCAAACATTGGGCTGCACCTACAGACGTCGCTTCACTGCCCTGTGAAGTTGACCTGTAGATGAAAGCCTGGAGGAGTGAACGACACTAAAAACTACCTACTGTGATTGATCTATCACTGGGTAATGTAGTGAAGGAGAACACAGGTGAGGGCAACCGAATTGTATTTAACGAAAATTACAAAGTTACTCAGTAAAATAGGAAAACGATACCGTAACCGTTAATTTGCAAATTTTCAATTAATCATCAATCCATTGTCTGACATTTCACTTATTCATGCGTTTCATACAAATTCCATTGTGTTCCCACTCTTCTTTTCTTGATTTTCCCACATCTTCTGCTGCCAGACATTACGTTTTCACTCGCGTCATATACTACTTATAAGTAGCGCGCACCACAGGTAATGACCACTGTCATACCTTTCAGATCCTTCTTAGTTCCTGTCGACTTTTTAGTGGCCACGTTATATTCAAAGCAGGTCCCACCACTTTGTGGCCTACGACCGGACTCCATTTTGACCGAAAAGTCGGATATGTTGTGAAATAAATATTCCCTTCAATTTCTGCATATCATACGTCGGCGAACCCCGTTTGTGCAACGGCTGTAATAGGAAGCTAAATACAGTGTTGCGGATACATTTATTTCATCAATTCACTTAAGCAGACAGATGAGAATTAAAAGCGTACGAGCAAAGTGAAGCCAAACGGATAAGGCGAGTGAGCCAGCTGAATGCGATGAAGCTTGACTAAGTATTTATAGTAAGCTGTTATAGGCTGGATATGTAATAAGCGAAGTAAGCAGCATGCATACACTCAAATAAAAACAACTAAGGTTATCAGAGAATTATTGACAAGGTTGGAAGGCATGTGGAAAATTAATCGAGAAGAATGGATTAATTTTGTCCAAAGGCTGAAACGAGCCCTCTGGACTCGATGTTTGTACAGACTACAAATTCTAACGATCAAGTTGCAATAAGATCACTAATCTAGGTAACTCGACGAGTGACATGTAGCACAAACTCTAGGTCTAGGGTTTCTAATCGAATATCTCCATTCACAGCCTTACACCAACTGCTTCGGTTCGGGTACCAAGGAACTATCCCAACACACACACACAAGTTCATTAGCTTATGCAGCGCGTTTGTATTTCTTTATCTCTCTGTACCAATTTTGTGTTTATATACAAAGTATTAAAAGTATATATGAGGTCTCAGGCATTAACTACTAGAATTTTCGTCTTGATAATTTATGATTTCCATCCATAAATCAATAATTAGCTACTCCATTCCTAAAGCAACTCACTAAATAGCTAATAAGTTGTCTACACTGAGGTGTTGCCTAGAGGTCGCTGCCAGAGTGAAAAGTGTCAGAAGATCGATATATTTGAAAAATTAGGAGAGGAATACAAGAAGACAGTCAATAACCTGCTAGCATTGCAAATAGATGATTGAAGAATATGTCTAGAGATTTCGTAAACAAGTTATGTCCTCTCTGAATATATATCTGTTCCATCCTCTCTTCGCTTCTTCATACATTGCAGTTGCAACAGCCAACAAATTGAACTATAAGCCAAAGCATAATAAATTCAGATAACTAAGGTTAAAATTTAGTAATTTAAATTTCTAACTGTAGTTAACTCGCTTTACTGAGTGAATTTGAAAACACATTGTATGATATTTCAATCAAGTAGTCTATAAATACTGCACTTAATAATTATTTGCCGTCTTATAGTTTAACCACTTATCATTTATACAATCTATTTTTGTCTTTGAAACTTAAAATTCCACTTATGAATGATAAAAATTAACAACCACAATATATATTTATTTTCAATTTAAAAAAAGCGTCTTTGCAACCTCGTAAACCATCTGAAGCCTCCTCTATCATTGAAGAATTAGCACAAGGTCGAAAACCAGTCCCTAAAAGCATTAGTCGATTATGTAAGCCAGTTATTTGGATATCAAATTGGTTTTATTTGTTGAGAAAGGCGATTTTGCACATTAATAATTTAACACAAAAATCTTATGGAAAAAAACTTTACACATTTTAGTGAAATTTTTTGAACTTTTTTCTTATCTCTTTAATTTGTGTCATAAACGTCGAACGTTTACTTATTCACACTAAGAAATTTTTTAATTTTATTAGCGACATTGTCATGTATTAAATTTATTCAATAATAATAAAAACCCAATTGCAACGTTATGCACATTTTGTAATTTTTGTTTAATTCAGCACAATTTTAATATATAAAATTTTATTCAATGTTTACTAACTACTACTTATTTACTACTACTAACTAACACATTGAAAATATGTTACACTACTGTACAGGTTTGTCGGTTTAACTGAGTAATTACAAGTCAATAGGAATATATATTTAAACAAACATAGGTCTACATTCGATCAAATAATTTTATTTTACAGTTTAGTCAAAATTTTCATACATTTCATACATTTTGAATTAGCTTTTATTTAAAGGACGTTTTGCAGGCGGTTATTAAAAGTGATTTGTTTTTCTTTGACAATTATGTCTAGCTTTTCTTTCATCGGTTATCATTAATCGATTTTTCTGTTACGAAACTTTTAAAAGGTGTCATTTTTAAAATATTTATCAATTAGGTAGTTTAATTTATTGCAACACACATGCTGTGGATAGTGTGAAACTTGAACATTTTTTCCCAATATAGCTTTTGAATTTTTAGACTCCAATTTAATTTAAATATGTTTTATGAGAAAATTAAAGGTGCTTCCATGTTCTTTGCTCTCTTTTCGCACATTATGCACTGTATTCAAGTTTACTGAGTACTTTTTTTTATTGAATTACTTAACTGATTTGTTGGTACATTAGTATTATGTTGGTGCCTTGTAAATAAATGTTCTCACAGGAACGCTTAACTAACAGTGCAATATTGATTTTAGAAGTCTTTATTTCTATGTCATTTTTAATTAAAGCTAACTATTTTGTTTTATTGCATTGAAATACTGATTTACTATTATCGTTTTCTTTTTTCTGTTTTCTCTCCGATTGCCTGAAGCCGTAATCAAGGATACAGGTTTGTCAATTATGTATTTGAACGTAATTATTCGAGTTTATTCATATATATATTTGAAATTGTTCAATGAACCCATTGTACAATTATAAATAAATTCAAACTTTGTTAAAAGTACGTTGGTTGATTAGATCTAAATGATTTGGACAAATTACTTACATGGATATCAGTAGTGTATGAAGGACAGATATTGGTTGGTTGTTTTTTGAAAACATAACTTTATATAGCTAATCGTTTCCCTTCAGCATGTACATCGGATTCACTGTTGTATCACTACTGATGAACAGGAAACTTGTCCAAGACAGCTAATTATTATTATGGCAATGTTTTTTTGGAGTTAACGAAAAATATTTCACCAAGATTTTGTGTAATTAAATTAAAATAAATATGAGAATTTTGTGATGATTATAGAATTTTCACAATTTAAATCATGAAATGATCTTAACGAGGCTACTACTAAAAGCCTAGAAGCGCTGGAGGGCCATATATAGTTCTGCACTATTGAATGTTTCCTAATCCTTGTTCGTTTTCAAATTCAGAACTCCAGCTGCTGGAAAATATTAGATTTCTCTGGTTGAGTTTAGTTTCTGAATGGATGAAACTAAAATATAAAAAAAAGTACAGTACTATCATTAATGTATGTCATTTCAACGCATCAACTTTCGAAAGCTTAAATAATCATTAGATTACATAAATTCATCACATTCTGTTGAGATTATTATTCTGTAATTAATTAGCAATTGATTTTGTACAAATCAAACAGATGTTTGCAAATAAGCCTATGATTTTTAAAATAATCTTACTTCTCTGTCTTCCCACGATGTTTTCGAAAAGAACCAGATCTCTAAATACCAGTCGAAATCTTTCTATGAGACTATAAACTAGTGGGCAAGAACGTCCATTAAGATTGATTCTCAATTCAAGCATCTTTGGCATAGTTAGCCATTTTGTTCTTAGCACACCAGAAATTCTGATTTGTTTGAACATCGAGTTGGGTGGTACTTCTAACTATTTTTATGACTTAAAAATAGAACAAATGAATATCTCGGTGACTAAACATTTTAAATGTTTTAAGAAACATCCAATGTAGATCAGATATTGTAATCAATAGACTTGATCAAGGTTCTGAGGCAGTTATTATGATTAAAAGTGACTATAAGGAAAAAATATCATCCATTCTTGGTAATGAAAAGTTTCCGGTGGACATTTACCAAGTGATGTCACAAATTTAGAAACCATAGTTAACTTTATTCTAGTAAAACATCTTAACACGAATGTTATTTATTTGAAATCATGAATTGATCAAAGTTAGACCACCATTAGAAACTTGAAAGCACCAAAATACGGCCATTTAGTCCTGGTATGGGACTCATCAGCAGTGCGCATCCACGATTCATGTTTTCAAATGTGTAACTTAACAATCTTCACAACCCCGTAATGAATGTTATTGATAAATATGATCTCAATATTCTAAAACCTACTGGCTCGGAACTCTTGAACATGTATGGATGACTTAAATCTTAAACCTAATAATCCATTAGGATCAGAATAGCTAAACTGATAAACTTAATATGTAACAAATTATGTAAGTGTTCTTTAAAAGATTTATTTGAATTAATTGTTCTTCTCAATACCGTTAAGTCTTTGGAAAAGAGTATGTACTCTTTTCGTGTAGATTTTATTTATACTGTTGTACTTTAAAGTAACAGTGTTGATTTCCTTTGAGAGTATATATTGAATTATTTCTCTTGTTTACCTATTCACACATGTCATCATATACTGAAAGAAGTTAATCTTACGTTTCAAAGTGAACCTTTTCCATGAGTTGATTATGATTTAAGGATTAGTGCTTAATGACTTATGTTAGTTGATGTATAGATATCAGATGTTGGAAATAGGAGTGAACTAGTTCCATAGAGTAGGTACATATGTGCCAAGACGTTCAATGTGCCTTGATTGTTAGATACATTCATTGGTGTACAGAGTTATGCAGTACATACTCTTCAGGAAGAAAATAATAAGCAATTACCCTTTCTAGACATACTTGTGAGTGGAAGAAGGATGTGGAACTAAAAAACTATCAATTTACAGAAAGGCAAGATGAAAGGAGTAATATCTAAAACTCGTAAGCTTCTGTCTGCTTCATTACAGCATGGCCTTGGTAAGGTTCCTGTTCAATAGGACGCACTAGATATGTACTGCAGATGTCCTTAGAGAAAACATAAAGCTGCAGATTTATATGTTGTTATCAAACTGTTATTTGCTGAAGTCTAGAAGTTAGCATACAAGTTAGCTAGTACAGGAACTTCTTTGTAATTCTGTGTCAATACCTTACTATCATCAAATCAACTCTGTTTGTTTATTGCTCTGTCACTGTTAACCAACAAGCCGGCTGCACAGCACATCGCTGCTTTTTAGGCAACGCAAGGATTCTCATTGTAGCCAACAGTAATCACCCCTGCCCCAATCGGGAACATACGTGTTGTCCAGTTTGGTCTGCAGACAAGTGGACATCCAAAGAGTACGCACACGAACAGTGGCCCCCGCCCGGGCACTTATGATTCAAGAGATCCCTCCAAACAATCCACTACCCACAATCCTCAATGGGCGAGGGCGGTAAGGTGGGCTTACCCAGCTGGACCTGGCACCTCGAAGCGGATTACCGGGCCACCCAAGCAGTGCACTAACCAGCAGACGTTTCAACAGTCTGGCTTCCAACTGCCTTGCGCTGAACATTCGATCGGGGTCCCCAAGGCCCCACATAAAGCTAAAGATCTAGTTTGTCCCACAAGGTCAGCTAGAACGTACACCTTTCCATGAGGAAGATGTCATGAGCTCGACCAAGCGCAAGCGCTCAGCCAAACAGAGTTCATCCCACAGAAGTGGGCAGACATCATTGGCGTCCAGTACTCTTTCAGCACTGGAACACCGGGACCCTACTGGAGACCCTTGTTTAAGGGGCCTCGACGCCAGTTCACACACTGGACCAGGTGCAGAGTGTAAGGGATTACCACGTAGGGTCGGCGTCTATAGTCCAGGATGTGTACGGCTGCCTCACCAAACAAATCGTCTAGGGCCGCCTTCAACCATCCCGGAAAGCTACATCCCTTTCAAGGTATTTGCTACTACGGAATGATAGAGGACAAGTCCTCATACCATTATCGGAATTTACCTACGCTCCATGGCCGTAATTCAGACTTAGAGACGTTCAGTCCTAAACCCCACAGAGTGGCTACCGCATCCACAGCCTTGCGACCATGAACACGTACCATTATTCTGGACCATGCTAGGCACGGTATCCTAAGCGTTAGGAATGGCTTTTAGCCGCAGCGATGTATCCGCCACCACGTTTCTAGCGGGACCACGAAGAGGTAGCCATCACCACAACCCTAAAAGGCTCCATTTATGCGCGTCACCTAATATATCCCTTCAGTTAGATGACGAGGCATTTGGCTACCTTAAGAGAGTCATAGTTACTCCCGTCTGAAATCTATAATACTGACTAACTACCATAAGTTGCTGACTTTTTTTCGCACCGTCAGAATAATGAATTCTATACATCTATTCAACCATGGTGTTTTGATCACAAAAATGTCTCCGAGAGAAATTTCTTTCTCTCAACTTGTTTACAAAGCATATCGCCACTATGTTACTAAAACGAATAAACTTGATGTGAAGGATCATTAGCCTTTGGTTTAACTGTCCATCAATACTACTCAAGCAGCAATAAAATGAGATGAAGATTTTGTCCATTGACCTTTGATTTTCGTCGGTAAATCAGTTAGTTCATGATGAAAATTACAATTAAACAATCTCTATAAAACTAGACTTACATAAAGTTTGACTTGTGATATGAAGATAAACATATATTTAACTGATCTCGAACAGGAGAAAATTAAACTTATAATGTTTTGCTACTCAGTATAAAATGACTATTAAGGAACAAAACGAACATGATTTTTGATTGGACATATCAACAAATCAAAATATTTAGTACATTGAATAAAATTCTGGTCATTTGAATGTCAAGTTTTTAGGTCAAAGTTGAGACATTAGTGTATATTCATGTTTGTCTAAATGGGTGTGAGAAATGTAATTACTGTCATATGTGGGGGTAGAATTAATTTGTGTATTCGTTAATAGTTTGAGATATACATGTCTCCCTTCTTGACCTAAATGACGTGACATTCAAAATGTTCACGCTTGTATTTTGATTTGTTCGCCTAGCCTATTTAAAATTATGCTAATTTAATTGCAGTTATTTATAAATCTGAAGGGATATATTATACTGAGTGTTGAAACGTCAGAAATTCAATCTTCAACACATTGAAATATAAAGCAATATTATTATTTTAGTATTATAAATAATCCACTTCATGTTCCAGTTACTTGAGTATATCAAGTCAATCCTTGGTAATGATATTTACAATCTTTTTTGAAAGATTATCATGATATTTCCCTTTTTATAAACCTGTATTTATACCGGTACTTAGGTATCTTGCCTTTAAAACTTCGGACATATCATGTAAAGATCATTTCAAGCCTATCCTTAAAGCAATATAAGGTGTTGACGATTAACAGAAAGTCCATTGGTTGATTTACTTAGAAGCAATCAATAATTTACTTCAAAATTAATCATGAGCATTCTAACTTGACAGATTATTTCTAATTAATCATGAATGGCTTCGGTAAAAAAAGGCATTTTTACAAAAGGAAACATACTTTAAAGGTGATTAAATATGAGAGTAACAATTGAATGGAATAATTTGCCTCGCTTTCAAATCTATCTTTACTTTTCAATCAAAAAATAATTTAAAATGTATTTATTATCAAATTATGTCTCAAAATTCAAAGGTAATAGATTTATTAAAAATCAACTTAACAACATAATTGTTTATATTTTAAACAGAACTTTCATTATTTACCTATCGAATGTTTTGTATTACAGAATCATCGTCATCATCATCATCATCATCAGAAAAACGAAGATATTCAGTACAGAATGCATCCGGACCTGGAGGTTAGTTCATTATTATTGTTGGTCTATCACTTTTTTGTTCATTTGTTACCTGAAAGAATTGATTACTCAAGAAACGATATATTTTAAAATTTTACTCCTCTGGTCACCTAATAAATGCACCATCGAATCAGTGGAGGCTGAGGAAACTGCCTATGAAATGGAGGATATCTTTGAAATTAAACATACGTGTATTGTTTATACTGTGTGTGACTGCTTTCCAAAAGGCATACCATTTAAAATATTACTGCAACTTAATCAACACCAATATTTCTTTCGGACAATAAAACACATTTCTCACTATACTCATCTGTAGGTTGGTTATTTTAATGGTTTATATAATATCACAAATTGGAAATTGTAACAAACTAAGACAAGAGAAGTTATTTATGAGTTCCAAAAAGGGCAGATTTTACATAAACCAAAATCCATTTAGAGTTTGTCAAATATCATTCTATTAATTCCAATTGCATAAAAGGATGTATACATATATATTTGTTAGTTCAAAGTCAAAAAACTATACAAAACAGTGAACTTACTTACTTACCGACATACGTCTTTTACTCCTCGTAGAACATAGAACTCTGACTGACAGCCTTAAGCCAACTCTCTCCTGAGCCTTCATTTGCACTTAGTTCTATCCAATTGCTTTTCATTCTTTTCATGTCTGTTTTCTATTCTCGACGCAGTGTGTTCATTGGTCTACATCCTTTCCTTTGGCATTGAGAATTCCAAGTTACGGCTTGACTCGTGACGTCGCTGGATGACATCCGCAACGCGTGTCATATCCACCTTTATCACTTTTCCTAATCTCTTTATCAGCTGTAATTTGTATTGTACTCTTTCAAAGGATGTCGGTGACCGTGTCCAAATAAATGATCTGCAGTATCTTGTGTAGAAAACTATTAATAAACGCCTGTATGTTTGTTATGATGGCTTTGATGGTTTGCCAACTTTCCGCTCCATACAGTAGAACTTTGCTGATGTTTGTATTTGAAGTTGTAATTTTGATGTCGGTTGACATGCAGTTGTTTTGAGTCGTAGATGTTGTTCATTTGTAGAAATGCTACCGTTGCTTTGCCAATCCTTTTTTTCGCATCTGCATCAGATGCATCTTTTTTATCAGTGATGCTGCCCAGATACGTAATAGTTTTCACTTCTTCTGGAGCTTCTGTGTCAGACTTGGAGGAGATATTAGTCGGTGCAGGTTGTGTTGCATTGTAGGATTATTCTTTTCCCCTTGTGTATGTTGAGGTCTACTGCACCAGATGTTGCAAATACACTGACCACCTTCATATTCATTTGTTACTGTGTGTGTGGACAGACGAGCTAGATCATCTGTGAAGTACGAATCATGTAGAGGCATCCTAGCTTTCCACAGAATTCTGTGCTTCCCCTGCAATGTGGAATTTTTTTCTCTGTTTCGCTAAAATTTCAAATAAATGACCATGAACTGTAAGATTATCTAGCTAAACTATCTGTTATTTAGTTGAATTTTTGTCTTATCACGTTAAACAATTTTTAAATCTATACATCAGGTCTTCCTCCAAGAATCAGTCCACGTCTAACACCATATTTAAATTTACCAATTACGTCAGCTGGATGTAAGTTATTTAAATTTCCCATTTGTGTTTATATTATTATCTAGTTTATTATGTATGAATTCATAATTACTAATATTTAGCTGCCAAACATTATGGATTAATCATAATTCTAAAGTACCTAGCGATTCATGCAAAATTCAATTGGAACTTTTGGATGTTTATGTAGAACTAAACCATTCAATTCATATGTATGTGGAAAATTTTAAAAGACAGTAAGAATTCTGTGAATGAAAATTTTCAGTTCACTTCATTTGTATACATTATCATTGACTAATTCATTTTAAAATCTTCAATTACATACATGCCAGTATTCAAGATATAAGTAGTCAGTACATTCCTTAATCTATTCAAAAGTTTTACCTCATAAAAAACTTACAAAAATAAATGACGGAATTATTTTCTGCTTTATAGTAAATTAGTACAATAGTTTGTTTTATTTTACTAGAGTTACACATTATTTCAGTTAAAAAACAGAATAGCTGATTGAACTAACAAAAGAACACATTTTATTCTTTGACAATGATAACATAACATAACTGAGAGTGTAGTGTACAGTTATCTGTACAGTCATCATTATTTTAATGGCTTAATACTCCTCTTACGACTCATGAAACAAAGTTGTGTTACACATAGATTAAGGAAAATAATAGGTAGCAAGTTGTAGACTTTATGTGTTTTATTGGCCATCCTCATTAAGCAGAATGAAATTATGAACTATAATTAACTGATACTGCCCAAAGGTTTCACTTTGTCTCATACAGTATTGTAGCCGCGAATACAAACAATGCATTACTCTTGCCTTTATTGGCTTTTTGTTTACACATGACTAATCATGGGCTGGCATAAAATTAAAGGCTGTTTAATCGCTGATGCTAATCAGTAGAGATTGACCAAATGTCTTACGACAGTATAAGAAAAAGAATCAAAGTATTGTAATAGAGAAAATAATTATCATTATCTATTTTATGGTAAATTACATTAATTATTTACAAAATACTGGTTAGGAAAAATTTTGTAAAACAATGGCAGATTAAAAGAATTTCAGTGAAACAGAATATATTATTTCAAATAACTAAACAATTCATAATTTTTAGATCGTCTTAGTGTGCCGGGTGAAACATAGTCAACAATGAGTATCAGTGTGAAACACCAATTATCATTTGATTTTTTCAAATGCTTCAATATACTCACAGGTCAATAAAAATCTCCACGACCTTTCACTGACAGTCATCATATCCTTCCTGGCGATTAGTTTCCAGAGGAAATTTCAGACGTCCTAGTAAGGATCCATGACCAGTGGAGTTTTACCGTTTCGGGTGTAGGGCAGTTACCTGCAGAAGGCAATGGAAGATGTAAGCATAATGTCCTGGATTGATTGAAGTTAGACACTAACACCGTTGGATGATGACCCCGTGGTCTAGAGATTAAACGTTTGTGCGTAGGACTGAGGGCCTGGGTCCCAATCTGTCATGAAGGGTCGTTGATGCTCACTATTGAGGAGTCCTATACGTGGACGGATTGGTATTCCAGTGGTTCCAGGTTTTTAACAGTGGCATAACGTGGATCGGTCTATGATTTCGATTTAATTCTCTAAAACTTTCACTAAATATATTCAAAAGGAAAGAGATTGTTGTATATAAGTGTTAGTCTTCTAAACAAGAAATCCATATCTTTCTCATAATTATTTTCCTCTGTTTAATACAAACTAGTAGTAAACTTAAACTATTGTTTTTCTTAAATTAAGAAATAACTTTAGCAATTCTGGATTGTTAGGGGACGACTTAATCATTTAGTGTTTATTTCCATTAACTTTGATTAAATTTTCAATGACAATAAACAACAAAAACCATGAGATGATACAAATTTTAACCCATCATTATTTTAAACACATCATAGATTTGAATTCTTTCCAAGTTCTTGATATTTCTGTTACCAAATAATGTAACCTTTTAATACGGCTTCTGTTAAACAAACTGGACTCACATTGTCCAGATAATGGTAGGTTTGTGCAATTCGTACATGTGAACACTCCAGTGTATACAGTTACATTTTTAGAAACTCAAACATTCATAGTTCATCGCAAAAATAACGTATCAAGTTAAAACTTTCAAAGAGTTCACTAATGTCTTATAAATAAAATAGTATGAAAAAAAAATGATTAAATTTCTCTGGATTTATTTCATATTTTTACGTTTGTTATCTTTTAATTCTATTTTGTTCAATACTTGTTTAAAACAATATGTGTTTGTTATTCAATTTCAATAATAATAATCTCTGAGGTTGTTTATTGACTATTGGTTATTAGTTAACACTTTTTTTTATGCATCTCAGCAACACCTGTATCACCAGCAACATCGAGAGCATCGATTGCATGCAGTAAGTTTATACATTTGTTTACTGATCCTTAGTCTGGTACTGTAATGATTGAGTTTACATTGAAAGATTTTACAAGAGTTACAGAATTCTACACTACAAGTTATTTCATTTTGATGATTTCTCTCTATTCATTTACGTTACATTACATCAAGTTATTACACTATATCAACATTATATATATATAGATATAAATATATATATATATATAGAGAGAGAGATGAAATAATCAGAACAAATGCTAGAATAGTTGAAGTAATAAAAGTTTCATTCATAGTAGAAAAAAATCAAGCTCTGAAAATGTATAGATTGTAGACGAAAGAACATATCATTCGCAAACGGAAAAACTATCAAACAACCTCTGTAAATAGATGTAGGGATGAAATTCAACCTTATCAAGTGTTAAATTTACCAAGTTACTTTAAACAAAACCAAATGGAGAGTAATATGGTTGATTTCGTCAAACGCTTTATACAACAAACATAATAAATCTTTTTATGAAAATCTTGAGACATCTAACATTTAGGAAGTAGGATATAAGCAGCGAAATAATTTACTAACTGATATACATTTTATTATCAAAGTATTTCATGAAAATTAGGTTGAATAAGAAAGTGAAATGTTCAGAAAATTGACTTAATTTCCATTATGTGTATACTTATCAAGCTAACAAGATTCATGATTATCACTCCCTATTAAATGATCATTTTTTATTAATCTTTCTTTAAATTGAGAAAAAAAATTACTTATCTAATGGCTAATTAACGAAATTATGGTGTATAAAAGAATACTTATTCATCTTTCATGTCAGTAAAACTAGTAATTGCTTACATTCACATAAAAAACATATATATTACAAAGCTTGATATCTGTGTATTCATCGTTCAATAATATATCTATCATAAACACATTAAAACAAAATGCCTTAATAGAAATAACTACTCTTTTTACAATGACATTTACTGGTGTTTTAAACTCATCATATGTTTTTTTCTTATCCTCTCCTTCCGACCTGATAATTCGCATTTTCTTTGTCCACAATTATTCTGAAATTAATTTTATTTTCGTTTAAAAACTAAAAATTCCAGTTTTTAACTTTATTTATTTTTTTCATATCGTATCACAAAAAGATTGTAATTTAAGCATAAAAAGTGTTTGACTTGTAGACTATGCCAATACTTGGCGAATGCCCAATGACAGAAGCATCTTGAGAACTTCTTTATCAGGTAAACTATCATATAAATGTATAGATTTATATCATAAATAGATTGTTCCAGTAAGTAAGCATACGATCTAGTATTTAATGAACGTAACCAGAAAATCATTCACATAATTAAGCAAAATTCTTACAACAACTGAATCAGTAGATGTTTTTTGGAACGGGATCATAGGGAAGTTGATTTATTTGCTAGTAAAATGTCAATCTCTGTTGATACTGTGGATAAGATTTAAGAAGAAAAGAACAAGAAGGCAGAAATTTAACAGTCGAATAAGAGTAAAGAAGATCAAGGCACAAGCTGAACAGACAGGAGCAAACAATAAAAGAATAATTCAAACCATTTAAACTCTGTCCTAGCATTTATAGATTCTTCAGTTAGGACAGCTATGACGCTTCTTGATGAATGCCCAGTTTCATCGGAAGTCACAAGACCGATGCCAATTCTCACAACCAGAAAGACCATTAATATCGGTACATGGAATGTTCGCACAATGTAGCAAACCGAAAGATTCATTCAGGTTGATGGAAAAATGAAAAAAAACACAAACAGATGGAGCTTGGAATACGTGAAAAAAATTGGACGTAGGTTGGGTCAAAAAGATCAGTTTCATGATAGATTCTGTTGTACTCCGATCACAAAGAACAAGAAGAAGAAGATGCCTCACATACACAAGAAGCACTGATAGGATAGGAATCTCGCGACCTCAGGATCAACAATGCATCATTAAAGACAAAGTGAGAGGGAATTATCATAAATGTTATTCTGTGTTATGCACCTACCAACGAAAACAAAGAAGACGATAAAGATCAATTCTGTGAGATGCTGCAGTTAGTCATTGAGAAATCCCTAGCAAAGGATTTGATCATTATGATGTGAAGGCTAAACGTAAAGGTTGGAACGATAAACACCGTATATGAAGATATCAAACGACGATATGAACCGAGAGAAACGAATGAAATCGGTGAGTGGTCAGCAAAATTATGTGCGACAACCTCTGCGGCAGTAGACAACCACATACGTAAGGATAAAAAGAAGATCCTCCGATGCAACAAAACGTGCACCGACCATTGTCTCCGTCAAGTGTGACAGAGAAGCTACGGAAGATGAGGAGACTATTACGTATCCGGGCAGCATCATTGATAAAAAAGATGCTTCTGATGTAGATGGAAAGGAATGGATTTGCAAAGCAACGGCAGAATTTCTACAAGTGGACAACATCTGCGACTGAAAACAACTACCTTTCAATGAACATCAAAATCACAACTTCAAATACAAACATCAACACAGTTCTAGGGTATGTTGCGGGAAGTTGGCGATCTGTGAAAGCCATCATTCCAAAGATACAGGTGTTTATTAACAGTTGCTTGTGCAAGATACTGCAGGTCTACTGACCAGAAAACATCAGCAGCAACTTTCTGTGGGGTAGAAAAAAATACAGATTGCAGCTGAGGAAGAGATTTGGAAAAATTGGTGAGGGTGGATATGACACACGTTGCAGATATCATCCAGTTACATTACGAGTCAAGCCGTAACTTGGAAATCTAAATGCCAAATGAATGGGGGTAGACTAATGAATACGCTGGGCCGAGAATTGAAGACAGACATGAAGAGAAAGAATAGCAATCGGAATGAAAGCTCAGGACAGAGTTGGTTTGAGACTGTTGGTCAGCGACCTATGTGCCATTGGTGGTAACACATGTAAGTACAATGGTATATCAAGTTTATCCTGGATTCGCATGTTGATAGGTAAACTTACAGTAAATGGGTATGCATGTCTGCATGTGTTTGACAAAGAGTGGAAACTAATAATTAGATAACTCAAATTGTAATTTCAATCAGTATATTCAGTAACTTATTTTTTCTTTCAAAGCTGAAATGTTTTTTAACAATATTACTTTGTTAGTAACCTGATTACTTCAAAAATATACATTAATAGATATATAATAAGTATTATTTTTTCTATAGTAGCATGTGTTATTCAATTTGAATACAAATAGAACTGGTCATTTTTGATTAATCAGTTTAGATTTGTGATAATTATACTCTACATTTTTTCTTCTACAAAGTCTACTTTATACCCTGCATCATTTATTAGGCTGATGGTGAAAATGTTATTAAATTACAAGTGTAAAAACTTAAACGTATTATCAAACTAAAATGTTTTCTGACTTTTACAAGCAGGGAAGGCTTATTTTGATGTGATTCAATCTAATGATGACATAATGTGAATAAATGTATTTTTGAAGTTTTGAGCTGAGAATCTCCTTAGATTAATTGTTAATGATATGATTCATTGGACAAATGAAAATCATAATATTTTTTTAGTCGATAACTTCACCCTTAGAGATTATCAGTGTGATACGTGTCAAAACCAACAAGCACATTAAACTTAGATAAAAAGAATTAACGACATACTAGAATTATACTTATTGTTCATTTATAAAGAACTATGATACAGTAATTAATGGACTGATAGAAAATATACATTTCACTTAAATACATACGCATTCAAATACTTACGCCTGTTACGACTAATGGAATGTATGTAGGTCGCCAACCAACATTCTCAAACCAACTTTGTTCTGATCACTGCTTTCCACTCAATTCTGTCCGTTTGCTATTCATTCTTTTCATGTCTGTCTCCAATTGATGTATAGTGGTAAGTTCTATTCGACAGCTTGTTTCACAATCATCCGTAGTGTCGCGATTCGGTGCATACGCAGTCGATCTTTATGGAGTCCAACCTGCTGATCTTCAATTTTGGTCAAGTGAATATTTCATTTGATTGAAAAACATTGTGCTGAAGACTCTCCCGGGTACTAATATTAGGATGATGCTTCTATGATTCTCATACGTGTTGAGATCTCCTTTCTTTGGTTTTCCTGATGAGGTGTCCTTCTTTCCACTTTGTTATACTTCTTCTTCCTTACAAATCTTGCTTTAGTGAGCGTGGAACATTTTTGCAGTCGCTTTTATGTCTGCTTTCAATGCCCCAGCTGAAATTTTGTCTGGCCCTGCTGCTTTGCCGATGGTTATGCTAACTTTTTCAATTGACGATGCGTCAACATCATCTGCCGAGTGCATACGTGCCACTTCGATGTTGGGTGGGTTCAGTGGGGTCTGTCTATGCCAGCTTTCTTCAAAGTGCTTTACCCACCTCTCTCGCTGTTCTTAAATATCCATGAGTGCTTTTCCTCCCTTGCTCTTCGCTGGTTGTTCCGGTTTACTATATTTTACAGCTGGTTTCTTTTTCATTGTATCTTATATATTTGTCTCATTTTCCTTCTCTTGGAGCTTCTTCTGCCATCATTGCTACTCACTTTTTTCAGCTCTACTGCACTTCACTAGCTCTTCACTTGTTTGTTTGTTTCTGTGTACTCAGCTTCTGTGTTGACTTTCTCTTCGCTTATCCTGCCTAATTAATTTTTTGAATCCTTTTTTAGACTGAAAGCTTTTCTCATGAAATACCGTTTTCCTGTATATCTACTGAAATCCAAGTACTCGGTAATAATCATCCTGTTATTAACAAATTGCTTTGAAATCGATTTCTCAAAGTTTAGAGTATAGGTTGTTACTTATGATTGCCTTGCGTCACAAATGGTCCGATTTGTTAAATCTGGACACATGAATCCCAGCACAGCTATCTCGGAATCTCATTTTCGTTCTGAGACTGATTTTGTGTATGTAAGAATTTACAGACGAAAATCCCCTGACTAAGATGTAATAGTTTTTCACGGTTTCCTTGTTTTATGAATATGTTTCTACAGGATATTGCTGTTACATTTCTTTATTTTTATACCTATTATTTTGCCATAGGCGATCATTTCCTTTAAAGAATGTTGTGGAAATTAATCAATCTTTGAATGAATTAGCGCCAAAGATTTACAGAGTATAAAAGCAATAGTTGTAGAATTCGCATTTAATAATAATCAACAGTAAAATATGTTATCCATTTTGAAGGTCAAAAACGAAATATGCTATTGTGTGTTATTAAAATCTTAAATCTAGTATTATATCTTAAGTACTATAATTGACTGTCAAAATGCTTAACAATTTTTATAATCAACTTGACTCAAACAATACTAATCAAAACAAAGTTTTCGTTTCTTACTAGTTTACAGATTATCATATTAAATACAAATTTATAATGCTAGAAACTTCTTTCACCTGATACATTTTATCTGTATTTGCAATCTATAAACGTTTGATCTATAAAATGAACAAATGTTTTTTTATAATTAGTTAATTGACCACATTTTAGAGTATAAGTGGAGTTACGATGTCGTGTGTACTATGTTGAGATGTAAAGTGGTGGTTGGAGGGAGTCAACAGAAAACCTTTGACCTAGGTTTTATGCTACTTGGCATTCATCAGTAAGGGAGTGTCAGTTCCTTCAAGACCACAAGTAAACCTCGCTGATGAATGCCAAATAGAACAAAGCTTAAGTCCAAGGTTTCCTGTCCACTACCACCAATCAAAACCTTACATCTGTGTGCTATTTACACAACAATAAACTACAGAAATTAATATTTAATTACTAAATTACATTAATATTGTTTAATCCTAAGCTCATAAATACTATTATATCTCATTTATACCCATCAACTTCGTCAGGTGTACAATAAAAATTACCATGTCGATTTTTCCAATCATTTAAACATGACAATCATGCAAACAAATTACTTTATTTAAAGCAAAACCTAAATCACTAGACAAGTCACATTTTACTATGTAAATAATATGATTTTACTATTTTATTAAAGCTATGTTATTAGTTGTTCTTTCTTCCCCTTGAATGTTGGTGTCGATGGAATCGTAATGCATTTTTCGTATATCTTTTTTGCTTACTAGTCATCCACATTCAATTCAGTAAATTTTGCTAACAATCAATGCTTTTATAGTATCATTATGGTGAACTTTCCATTAATATAAACTATACATATATGTGTATACCTGTTGCTCAGTGTTTTATCTATTTATCTGCTTACATTTTCCAAGGTGTTTACTAAAATCATTTCTCATTCTCATATACATATTAAAACTTATATCCGTATAAATTTTTGCAAATTATCTCATTATGATTTGATGTATTGATAACATCTATTCGAGTAATTCGCAGTGCTACTGAATAATGCAACCTGATCACTTACTACATAAAGTTTAATAAATATCTTTGTGAAACCAATATGACAATCAATGATGATATGAAATTATCGCCGCTATTGAAGAAATCAGAAGTGGCTTTTTTTAATCAATAAAAATTTCCTTAAGTATAATTTAGCTTTATGTTTTTTTTCTAAAAATTCATCTGTACATAAAAATATTAAATTATACAATTGTTGTTTTCTTGTATTGGTTTTTTTTTCTAGTACCATTAAGTATACAAGCTCAACTTCAACAAAGTCAAGCAGTTAAATCTGATCAACCTTCCATTGTAAAATGTAAGTAGAGATTTGTGAAACATTGAAAATGTGATGACAATTTAATCACAAACTAGTTGCATGGATTTCATTCACTTCGTGTTGTTAATATTCACAAATTGATTTGAAAATACTATGTATTTATGTTGTAGAAGCTTCTTGAATGAATAACTTAGATGTATTGCCCAATAGTTATGTTTATTTTGTTTTTGAATAGTAAGTAGGTAGCATGCAATTAGAACACCTATTGTGTATGATATGGTTTATCACTATCCCAGACTATATTGATTGTTATTCTTTCTGTTCTGTTAAATTTATGTTGTTGTTTCACTCACAGTCATGTGTTAATAATTCATATTAAATGGCTATTCTCACTCTATGCACCTCAGTATACAAATCTAATCAATATGTTTTCATTGTATAAAATATCACTTATTGAAACATAATTTTATCTTACTTACTTGACTGTTCTCTTATTTAAGCATCCATAGATGTTACAAGAGTCAAAATGTGATATTCAGTTAATGATAAACTTACCTTTATTAATCATTTGATTCATGCGCATAAATTTATTTGATGAGATCAACATACATTAAGGGAAAAGCAAGGTTCTCCGATACAGCACCACATGCGTCAACCAAATCACTCTTGGTGGAAATGCTTTGGAGGACGTTGAAACCCTTACATATCTAGGCAGCATCGTCGACAGTCAAGTTGGATCCGATGCAGATGTGAAGACGTGGATCGTCAAAGTGAAGTTGAACAATATCTGGAACTCAAAACACCTTTCAACCAACACCAAAGTCAGAATTTCAACTCAAATGTGAAGGCAGTTCTACCGTATGGAGCGGAAAGTTGGCGAACTATGAAAGCCATCACCCAGAAGATACAAGTGTTTATTAAGAGTTCGGATCCGTTGGTCAGAAACCATCAGGAACACTCTACTTTGGGAGAGAACAAACCAGATTCCAGTGGAGGAGGAAATCAGGAATAAGCCGTGGAAGTGGACAAGACACATTGAGGAAAGCACCCAACTACGTCACAAGACAAGCCCTCACTTAGAATCCTCAAGGCCAAAGGAAAAGAGGAAGGCCAAGGAACGCATTACGCCGAGAAATAGAGGAAGATATGAGAAGAATGAACGAAAATTCGACAGCATTGGAAAGGTTGGCCCAGGATAGAGTTGGTTAGAGAATACGGGTCGGCGACCTATGCTCCACTGGGGGTAACAGGCGTAAGTAAAAAGCAACCACTATTTTCCGTTTACTATGCACAATAGAGTTTAAACAAATCCCACTGAGGTATTTCCCAAGTACATATATATATTACTCCAATTTAAATTTCATCATGAACTTATTCCTACTCAATACAAATTGATCGTATTTCATTTTTTAAATTTTAGCTACTACATCAGCTCCTTTGGCAAAAACATTTGTCACACCTAAAGTATCTATAAGTAAAGGTAATAAACTGTTTAAAATTTGTATTTTACTATTTTTTTTTTATTTTAAAGAATAAGACACACACCGTATTGCATACATAATCATTTTTTTTTCATTAATTTCTAATATTATGTAACAACACATATATATATGCATAAAAGCAAACAAAATGGTGTTGTTGTTTTCAATTAGATCAATATCAGGTTTTATTATTTTTATTAAACATGAAAAGATTCAACGATAAATTAACCAACACACACACACAAACACACAAACAAACAAACAAAAACCGGTAATTTATATTGCGTATACACAAAAACTATTCTTGATAAGTAACTTTGAAAAAAAATCTTAATGTAAATAAAAAAAATATTAGTGTTTTTTTTGTTGACTAAAAATATTAATTGACACCACATGTAACTAACTAACTAACTCTATACACACGAATTTAATTGCAATCAAATCATGTATACACATTTTTAAATAATTAAACGAACGACACAACACATTCAAAACTACTTGTCGTGTCATGTAATAAAAATATTATCAATAAGAACTTATCAAAAAAACACATACAGTCTTCAACAAATGAAGATCATTGTTATTTTTAAAATTCCAACTATAAATCTAGACATTGTAATGCATAATAAATAGAAAAGTGACTTATTTCTGTCAAATTTTTTTTTTTCAAAGAAAGAGTTTAGAGTTTATTTCATTTATAATTGACAACAACATTAAACAAAAATATATATTTATTTTTTCCGAAAAGAAACAGATATTAAAAAATTATCTTGTGCCAAAAGTATAATAAACTTATGAAATTAAAAGAGAAAGTAATCAACACAAGTTAAACACGTAGTCGGTTTTTACACAAAAATATTATACTGTTATAATAATTTTCTTAAGAATATTATTGTAGTGAAGGAGAACACAGGTGAGGGCAACCGAATTGTATTTAACGAAAATTACAGAGTTACTCAGTAAAATAGGAAAACCATATCGTAAACGGTTAATTTGCAAATCTTCAATCCATCATCAATCCATTGTCTGACATTTCACTCACTATTCATGCGTTTCATACAAATTCCATTGTGTTCCCACTCTTCCTTTCTTGATCTTCCCTCATCTTCTGCTGCCAGACATTACGTTTTCACTCGCGTCATACTACTACTTATAAGTAGCCCGCACCACATTATGATTAAATAAGAGTATTTTAACATTAGACTAAATTCTTTATGCAATAAACATGTATATACACATTTTTACAAAAAAAAATAATAAATTTTACTTATTTTTTTTCGTTTAATTATATACCCCGCACTACATCGATATTCATAGTTCCTGATCCAGAATTAGATCCTACTAAAAAACTTGGTCGTTTGCCTAAATCATTCCAATGTAGTTGTTGTCAACATGTTACAGTGACTAGAACAACTTATCATGTTGGTGTTTTAACATGGCTTATGGCAGTGTTGATTTTTTTATGCGGGTAAGTTGTGAAATGTCATTTTTAAAAAAAATGATTCATTTGAATGAATTTAATAAATTTTTTTTTAAAAAACTTTTCATGAATACATTGATTTAATAAAAAATGAACATGGCTTAAAATTTAAAGATATATATATAAAGTGCATTTGGGCGAAATCTAATTAATAACTACCATGTCATTAAGTTGATTTTAAATAAAAAATATAATTAGAGTGCATTAAAGGAAATCAAAATATTTATAGCTTATTTTCTTCATGGCAAAAAATTTATATTAGTTATTAAGTTGATAATGAATATTGATTTAACAAAATTTCAAAAACTAAAGAAAGTTACCTAATCATTTATCAAGTATATAGTAATAACTGCAAAGATATAATCTTATCAAATATTATAAGGATTAGGGATTTTTACACTTTCCCATCTATATAGATATTGAAATATCTCATAATAATCGCTTTTATTTAATTAGTCAGAATATAATACTATCAAAAATATGAATATTTCTAAATAATTTCTAAGAAAAAAGACTGTTTTAAACGAAATTATTGTTAAGTTTGATAGGGATTTGCATAACAAATCAATGACAATTTAATACCAAGAAGCACTGGAAATTAGTTTTATTTCCTAGTTTGAAACTACTCACTAGTGTATTCTGAAGAGTGAACTTATACACTTGTTTTGTGTAGAACATAAAATATTAACACCGCTGAGTAGACAGACATTGAATGGTGTTCATTTTAAAATTATTTTTCTTTAAAAGATTTATATTAATACAGACTATAGGTTGAATTTCACAGTTTTAGTTAGTAGATAGATAAGGGAAAAACCACTGTTTTACTGATTATATTGCATATGAGAAATATAAGAAAATTCCAGTTTTTTACAATAGGTCATTTGTGAAGCAACAGAAAAACAACGTAAAGGAACCTGTTTTTAAAAACATTTTAAAAATAATCAACAGTAATATATGTTTGTTTTAAGGAAATAATAGTATTAAAATAAAAATACGAATCTAGAATGGTCCATACACAAAGTTTGTATCCAAAAATGAATGATAGTTGGATAACCATGTCTATTCAATCGATATTTTCTGGTATGAAACCAATGAAACAAAATGTATAAATAGACCCTCGTGATGGATGTGGAAGCATATTGAATAATTTACTTCTAAAGTGCCACTTACTAATTAATATAACATAGAAGAATATAGACAGTTCACGAGAAGATTGTTAGTGATACTGATGAGTTTTCCTAGTAGAATGATTTATTCTTGAGGCTGATATTCATAAGTCAGTATGAATGATGTTTACTTCAGTTAATCTAATTTATTTAAATTGTACATATCTGTAGGTTTATTTCTCATTTAGATAAATGAGTTGGTATTTTTAAGCCTATAAGGTTTCAATTTATCACGGAACAAACTGGATGGGTTATATTTACATTTGACCACAGAAAGGTCCCTCGAAATTCTATAAATTTTGTTTCAAAATGCATGAGACTAGAAATTTTAGTTTTTCCGAAAATGTTATATTTAGTGGTGTTTTATAGATGGTCAGTGTTATGAATGGATGTAAACTTGTTATGTTTATAAGTCTCATTTCTGTAACCATGGAAATAATTAGGACAGATGAATCCAAAAACTCGAGTAAACAGTAGCAAAATATGTAACGCAACAGAGTTTGAAGAGAACAGTTCGGGGTTCAAGTCTCGGACTGAATATCAGCTCTGTGATACAGATTCATCCAGCTAAAATTTCCCAAATAGGATGAAACGTGCATCCTGGATTCCACTGCTAGCCATGATCCATCTCTGTTTACAATGCTTGTGACCTAAAAGTTATATCTAGGACATCTGCACCGGATGCACATTTGCATAATGAGATTGATCGATTGCAATCTTAACTGTCAATAGGAAGTTTCAAATTATCAATACAAAAGAATAAATCGACAGGAACTTTATGAATTTTGACTGAAATTAGACTATCGTACATGGGTTTCATCATGCTTTCAGCTCATCAATCAGATAAGCCTAGAACTTATAGCTGGCATCCAGGCGGAGGCATGAGCCCTGTAATTAGTATTTGAAATGTCACTGCGCCAACTACAGAGATTGTGAAACCAGATGGTTGCTAATTTTTAAGCAATTATAATATTTATTATTCCTAAACCTTCATGCTTTTCTGTTGCTGATATTCAAGATCTGTGTGAGTTATAAAAGAAACACATTGAGTTACTGAATAGAAAAAAGAGATAATTACTTGAAGATAATTTTGTTTTTCGAGAAATCTTCTTCTTCTTGATTTCTCGCTATATAGTTTCGTAACTTCTTTCTTGTAATTGACAATTCCAAGCAATTTTCCCCGAGATTCTTAATATTCTTCAAGTAGGCATTTAGGTCCCACACGTAATCAGTTCGGTCCTTTGAGTAACTTGTTATCATACCCGAAAACATTTTTGATCACCTTTGATATGATACACTAATGTTCCATTTTACTATAGACTTATATATTCTTATTAACTATAAATACGATTATACAGCTTATGTAAATGATATTATCCAAAAGAAAATTTTCTTTACTTAGTTGCTCATATTTCTCATCTGCGAGTTTGCAACGTTTAAATCAATAGGTATTAAGTTAAATTCTCAGTCTATGCATCAACAGTGACAACCACCTACACTCTGATAATGACTTCCAAATACGGCGAAATGTATAACCTCGATTCCATCTTTAGTTACACTCTAAAAGTGTAACAAAAGATTGTAGCTATTTCAAATACTGAGATATCCATCCAAACACCACATTTATCAACACAGAATAATCAAAAGTCAGAGTTACATACCTACATCAGAAAACATGAACCCTTAAGATACATGAACAACTTTGCTGATTACTTTTTCTCAGCTTTATTACAACTGAGTTACAAGCTTACATGTAACTGACAGTAATGCAATGGTTAGGTCGGGTAACTTAAACATAGATAATGATGTTGACAAAGAATAACTAGCTGTTATTTATAAAATACCAAATAATTAAAGCTTTCCTATACATAATGGTTACTTATATACCAAAAACGTTCTACAGAACCTTATAAATGTTTGGTTTGTTAAATGATCGAAAACGAGGTCAAAACTTATTGATGTGAATTTCACACCCTTAGTTTGTTCTTAGAACATCAACAGATATGAATTTATTTCAATTGTTAAATATATATAAACTAATGACATAACGTATTCCTCTTTCTACCTTCTCTTCGAAAAAAGTGGCGTTCTAGGCTGCTTTCTGATACCATTCTTTACGAATTGTTGTAAAGATGTTAAACATGAATGTCCATTCTGTGGTACAGAAATCGGTGTAGTTAAATGTATCTAAAATGTTAATACTGGACGTCGGATAGAATTACCAACTTAATTGAAAATCAGTAACATCGTACACATACATATCATATTTATGTTTAATATACTTTACTTATGTCCTATGGAGTTGAGCTTTACTTCAAAGTAAACATATTCATCTCGACAAACATGTATTGTTTTGAAAATGCCACCATTCACATTTTTTTTAAAAAAACACCAAAAAACCCAAAGACTTTTTAACAACAGCTCAAACAACAATTTTGTTTTAATTCTTCAAATGATATGTGAATCAAAAATTATCAGTAATCTGTATTTAATGATAACAGTGTAACACCATGGAAATTATGTCAATTATTCACAACATGAAACATTACTGTAAACTCTTCTATTATTTTAATTGTGAATATGATGATGTTGAATAATAATTTTCCTTGTTACATATATTCATTCATAGAACTAACTTATTTTTTTAAATATTTCATTGAAAATATCAAAATATGTTTTTTTTTACTGGAAGACAAAAAAAAACAAAATGACATTTTGTATTATTCAAATGAGCGAGTTGAAATGTATTTCTTATTTATGCCTTCTTCATATTTATGTATCTGTTGTGTAATTGTCCTGCTTTTTTTCCACTTTCTTTCTTAATAAATGTATTTATTTACTATATAAATATATTTTTCTTTTTATAATCAGATAAAAATTTTAAAAATTTTTTAATGAAATAAAAATAAATTCAATGTGATTGTTATACATCTTGTTTTCTTTAAACGTTTACTGGTTTTTTGGGGCAGAGTTTTGGAGGTTTACATTTTACACATTTGAAATCATCAATCAATCATTGTTAGACCCACCATTAGAAACCTGGAAGCACTGGACGGCCGTTTCGTCCTGGTATGGGACACATCAGAGTCGTGGATGCGCACTGCTGATGAGTTCCATACCAGGACGAAACAGTCGTCCAGTGCTTCCAGGTTTCTAATGGTGGTCTAACAATGATTGATGATGATTTCAAATGTTTACTGGTTTGATGGTTCGTTTTGTCAAATTAATAATATTATATTAAATAAGGAGAATAATGTTGATCGACAGTAGTTTATTTTAACTTTTTTTTCTAAACTTGAAATACACCAACGAAACTAATCATAAAGGTCTATCTCATTTGCCAGTGATATATAGTTTTGAAATAATATTAGATTATGGTTTTGAAAACATTTTTTCTGGTTAGCATTTTTTTTGGGCAAGTTAGATTTTTGACCGAATGGGGTCGCCAACCCCATGTCCAAACACAAAACAGTAGATAGAATTGTATGTTCCGTGTGAAATGAATGACGCTGAGTGGTAAATCATATGACGTTCCGTAATTTACCATTCTATTAACTTCCATTACAAAAAAAGATATTTCCAATAAGGCAATTAGCTAAATGGTTAACACTGACTGGTTCTACTAGAACTGTTAAACATACGAACGACATAAAGCTATTTCAATAGAAACTTACTTAAAACCAATTGTTCTATGTTTTTCAAATTGAATTTCTGAAATTGGTAAAGAAGCCGAAGATGAAAAGAATATTCCAGTACGACGTACACAATTATCTATTATAGGCTGTAATTTATCAAGAACAACTGTACGTTTCATTTTTTGTACACGAGCAATATCAAATCCAATGTACATAAGAGGTGGACTACTATCAATTGTTTCAGTAAATAGTGTACTTAATGAATCAGATGGTTGAGGAATTCTAGAAGGTAAAAACTAACAGAAAAAAATATAAAAAGATGACAATAATGATGATCAATTCATAATTTTAAGACTGATAATATGAGATGAAAGATAAAAACAAAGAAATTTCCTAGTAATCAATACTGGAATGTTTGACAGAGTGAAAGTATAAGTGAGTGATAAAGTAATTACATTCATGTATGTATTTGCTTAGGATTATTCAGCAAAATATCCTAAGAGTACTATTTTGGAAGTATAACCTTATTGGTCGATTTCTATTGGTCAAAATTATGGTCGTTTTAACTGTCAAAGTCAAATACTTCAATGTTGTCTCTGATTGGTCATCCGGACTGTCAATGTCACAGACTTGGATGCTCTTTCCTATTCGACCTTAATGTAAAAATACGCACCATCTGTAAGATTCCGATTCCGTTTCTTCCTGCCTACCTCTCTTCTGTACTCGATCCAATAAACAACTCCATCCAACGGTGTTGCGTTCTGATATCTAAGAGATTTGGAAATAGTATTTGGGTCGTATTGGGATAGTTTGAATTTGGGGACACCGCTAGAACTGAGAGTGCTTACGTAGCCAGCAGTATGAATCTGAGTATTTTGACGGGTACTTATTCAGGAAAGAAAAACAATTCATTGTACTATTCACTGATGTAAACGCAACAACAACCAACCACGGATGACGAAGCAATTATGTCAACCTGATGTTTTATTTTTGTACAGCGAATATCACCTGATTCATGTATTAAAAAATGTAAATTAGCCGGTAGTATTACAAAAATATTTTACTAGTATAATGTAATTGGACTAGACAATAAGTGTTATTTTTAAGCCCAGAGAACCTAACATTTCATTGAACTGTGATTATGAAGAATAAATATTTAGGAAAAATAACACTAGCTACATACAGTCTTCAGTAAACTGAAATTACAGATTGGAAAAAAGTGAATGACCAATTTGTGTTGATTGGTTCAAACAATAAAACATTGTCCAGTACAGTTATTTCGAACATGTAACACATACATCAAAATCTAGAGAAGGAACATTTCTACCTCACTAACCAATGAATGAATGAATGAATGACCTAAATGGATTATTGTTAATTCAGCCGCATACTATCACAATGAATATTTTTTTCTTTTAAAAAAAAAGATATAGACAATGAATACAATGAGATAAACTAATAAAATCTGAAAGAGGTAAGTACTTTCACGACAATATGTTTTAAATATAAGGTGATTATTGATTAACTAATTGAAATAACAAATTGATAAAGAAATTAGTCTATCAATTTACATTGTTCTACAATAGAATAGAAGGTAGATATTTTAAATTTACAATGAATGTACTTTACGTGTTATATATCTTTTTAAAAAATCAATTTCTACCAGTTCTAGTTACATTAATCCCTGATATGAACATTTAACTATATGAAAAATTGATGTTAGTATGAATATGAAAAATGCCAATATACCTTGTGAATCATTCATTCACTTCTACTAAATGTTATGTCTTCTGCTTGATACAACTAATATGGCATATAACTTCGGTACTAAAAACAAGTAGAACTACTAGATGGGATGATTGTACAATTGTACTATTTACAGTGTCATTTTCTCATGAACAAGTTGAAGCTTTGTTTGAAAGTCTGGATAAATGGTTTGAATAGTTCCAAATATGTATCCTAGGAACTCTAACGCAGTGAATAAATCGTTATTAGAGACGGTCTACTTATGAATAATGTAAATCATAAACCGATGCCATCATCTATTCTATTGATGAACTGCGTTTCAACGGTTCGGCTGGTAATACATTTGAATCCTAGTTCAAGAAATATAAATATCTGTTGAGATCCAAGCTCGATAAACTTGATGACTCCAAGGCAACTTGGCATAGTTGGACAAGAACGGTACAGCAACCTCGTCCTCCTAAAACAATTAGTGGCCTACTTATATCCATGCGTGGATGGAGGAAAATGTTAAGACCTGGTGGAATAAATGATTTGTTTGAAGAAGACACAGTTTACTAGCAAAATGTCTACACCTAGTCTTCCAGTTACCATTTACAAAACAAGTGGATTATATATAGTCTTCTTTTATATATCTTCTAGTCTTAAAAACACTTTGATTGAGCCGTACATCCGGATTTGACACTCTTCACTTAGTAGTAACTTCTCAGCAACACTGTGCTGCATACACGGTATACGAGCAATGCTTCGAAGACACCTATGATCAAAAACCAGTAACCCAAGACTATCTTCTACTCTGATTGGCCATGTTTCACAGCCATAAAGTAAGACAGAACGAACTACTGCACAGTACACTCGTCCTTTAGTCAGCAAACGGATATCACGCCTACGCCATAAGTGACGCAGGTTGGCCTTCTGTATCCGAGCTGAGATTTCGTCAGTCACCAGGCCATCGGCACTGATGAGACTCCCAAGATAAGTGAAGCGGTCTACACGTTCGACTACTTCACTCCCTATCACTAGTTCAGGTGCCGAAGCAACCCAGTCTTGAAGCAACATTTTGCATTTCGAGGGGGAAAACCGCATCCCGAACATGCTCGCATTGTTGCTTTGCTTTATGGTAGGTCAGAAGACTCTGCATTTTGTCAGCGTCTTCACCGAATAGAACTATGTCATCGGCATATTCTAGATCAGTAAGCGACTTTCCTGGTAGAAGGTCAAACCCTGAAAAATCTGACGAGCTTAATGTTAACTCTAAGAGGATGTCTACGACAAAGTTAAACAAGAATGGAGAGAGTGGACAGCCCTGACAGACACCACTCAAATTAGAGAATTCAGATGACAGTTCGCCATATGCTCTCACTCGACCTGTGGTGTTCGAGTAGAGAGCTTGTATAAGGTTAATGTAATTCTTCGGCACACCTTTCAATGACAGACACTGCCATAGAACTTCACGATCCACTGAGTCAAATGCCGCCTTAAGGTCCAGGAAAACAACTATTGTAAGACGCCTAAATGTGTGTCTGTGTTCCAGGACCTGTCGTAGTGTGAAGATGTGGTCTATACAACCACGTCCAGGTCGAAAACCAGACTGGTTTTCTCGAGTCTGCTCTTCACGAGCTCTAGTTAGACGTCTAAGTATAATCGAGGCTAACAATTCAGAAACTATATTAGTTAGACTTATTCCCCTGTGATTGTCACAAGAGGACGTGTTTCATTGTCTGAATTCAATTTAATTACTTAATGAAATTCACTATAACAGCAATAGATACATAACATTATTAGCTTACTTGACTTAAATAGATAATTCCACGTTCAAATCCATCAGATAAAATTGTTTCGAAATGTCTTTTCTCGCGTTTTTTCATCAAATTCAGTACAATAACTGGAGATCCATGACGTTCAAGTAAACTGGCAAAATGTAAACCCATCGATTCATAAAACGGATCATCACGCTGAAGATATAAAATAAAAACATTACAGTGCTAACGAACTAACTAGAATCTGTTAATAATAATCATAATAATAATAATAATAATAATAATAATAATAATAATAATAATAATAATAATATTCAGTGCTCTCTATAGTTTTTTTCAGACAGTGAAGTTCAGGCAACAAGAATTTGTTAAGTCACTGAATATAAAAACAAAATAAACTCGATGGTCAATTTACCGATCGCTTTCAACTGTAAACCCATTTTTGTATCGTAACATACTACTTACTAATAATCAGTAGTAAATGTTCCACCGTTTCAATGGATTGTATGCTGTTACGAATGTTGCTGTTTTAACACTGTTTATCTCATCAACTTATAATCTGATTTTTAGTCTGGTTTATTATCTGGTTTTTAATTCTTCTTCTTCCTGTCATTGTTTGGTATTTCTTATTTACATCACCCTTTGAAATCATGTTTATTTAGAGTATTTAGGTTATTTTTGTTTTTCGACCTATATAACCTTTTGATATAGCTATGTGATACTTGTTAATAATATACAGTAAGTACTGTAAACTTACATTTGTTTACTTATTTGAGGAGTGAAATTTCTCGTTAACCATATTTTAGATGTTAAAAAGAATGCCTGAACATACCACAAATTTAAACTCATGTGTCACATTGTATTCTCTAGAATGGTTCTCTATATTCAGAAAATTTCGAAGCGTAACTCAATTAATAGTGTGATTTAGTCTTACAGTTGTAAGCGAATCTTAAGGTCCCTTTAGAATCAAATGAGTGATATTCAGTTCCATAGTTAGGTACATTATCCGATTACTTAAGCCTAGGAAATAAATCCAGGACTGAATTAAGTGAATCTGTTAATGAGTAAAGGATGATTTCGTGTTTATGAGGTTATTCAGAGAGTCGACATATCTGAATGCAAAACTCAACAGGAAAAGCGCATATTTCAATGTCGAAATATTACAGCAGATTAAGCCTGAATACAATATTAACGAGTAAACAGATCAACGGTTTCTGTCAATTTCCATTAAGCATCGAGTATGATAATCGATATCAAGAAAGGTTTGAAGTATAATGAGAAAAAGGGCTTCACTTAATTAGGAAGATATTTCCTTAGTTAGTGAAACAAACAAATAAATTGCATTTCATGACGTGTTTCACGTTCTACATTCCCGATGACTAATTGACTGAATTTATAAAATAAGAGGATTTACCATTGTTCTTCTACGATCGATTTTGATCGCTAACTATTGTGCAATTTACTTGTACACGAAATCTATTCTCCCACATTTCCAAAAAAATTTCCGAAAACACTTCGTAAAAAATTGAAGTTCTGGATTTCGTTTAAGTGAAAATAAATTCACAAAATGTTTTCAAGTCAGTAAAAATTATGTTAAGTCATTATTTATTTATGAACTAATAATAAGCACTCTGAAAATGATTCTCATACGCTTAAAATTGACCTGCAAAATTATAGTGCTTTATTTATTTGCATTATGGAGACAACCATGAAATGTACTGATGATGATAGTCTGAAAAGTCTTACAAGCAGATTATTCGAGCTTAGACTACAATTCTACTAGAAGAGTTATGAAATTTAATATAAATAGATTTGCAATGCAGTATAAGAAACGCTCACTGATTTAAGATTTTGAAAATAGATGATTGATTGAAAAAATGGTTTGACAATGAGCATCTTTAGCGACCTGGATCAACAAGCACCGGAATCACGGGGTTGATGTTCAGAATAGTACCAATCTTGGGATTCATTAATGCTACAGCGGTTACGACTATATGATTTGAGGAATTAGTATGTTTTAAAGTTACAGTAACATTTACGTGATTTCGGGGAAAAAATCGAAAAATAGTGTACTAGCCAAACTGTTGTTGAAGCAACATGACCAATAAGTCATGTGATTCGATATTACGATAACCACGTTCTGATGAAAGGTAACCGAGATTAATCTTTAGAAAACCCTGAAAATTCATGTTTTGTTCCATTCGGAAATCACTAGTAAAAAAGCTCAGCCAGTCAGTTAGCAACAACATAGAACTTGGTTCATACGTACATCAGTTCAAGAGTTGTCACACCGCATTAGCAAAGAGATGCCGTTATCAATTCAAATCCCATATTGGGAGGTGTAATAGAAGTATAAGTGATAATGGAGAAGATTAGGAATCGAAGATATAATTCGAGAAGTATGTCCCAGTGAAAAAAATTGAAAAGAGAATAGAAGTCGTGATTTCAAAACATCAAAAACTTACTAGAATTTCTAAAGGTGGTCGGCCAACAACAACTTTAGAAGACTCTTGTGACCAGAATAATGGTACAGAGCCACGCATTTGTACATATGATGAAACACGTCCATGGCGAAGAAATGCATATGAGGTGTCGTGTACTATTTGTTCCGTTTCCACCTGAACAAAAACCCGTTTAAAACGGTATTTAAGAAACTATATACTGAAACTTAAACCAAAAATATAAATCAAACATTCAGTTGTTACGACACGAACACAAGGTGGTAGGATGGCCCAACTACGCTTTCCAAGCTACAATGGATATAACTGCATTCAATCAAGACAATAAAACGGAAAATTTACTACATTTAACTACTAGGCAGTATATTATCAAATATATGATCGATTTTGTATGGGTGAATGCTGTACGATATATACTGCTGGAAGGCATAAAGTAACCCAAAATCCTCGGCATTAATAGTCAGTAATCAGTCAGTCAGATGCAACATAGAACTTCGTACGTAAGTACATCAGTTCATGTTGCCATAACACATCAGCACAGAGATATAATTGTCAATTAAAATCCAACAGTAGTAAAGGTATTAGAAGTAATCGGAGAGGTTAGGATTAGAAGATATTATTCAAGAAGTATGATTTAATGAGAAAAGTTTAGAGAGATATCAGAGATATCAGAGCTCTTTTGTTGTATTCAGACTGAATAAAGGTAGAACTCAAATTAATTTCCTTTTATATACACATAACTCTCGCTAATCGTTGAATGATACAAGAACTTGTATAGTTCCTTTTTTTGGTAAATAATAATCTGTAAGAGTATTGTTTTTTTTTAAAAATCTGCTGTACTCTAAAACTTTTTCTTTTTTTTTCCTGTATTTTCTCGTCCAATAGAGTAGATTGGTTCAATGAATTTTATGAATTAACATCTTATGTCATTTTAAAACGTTTCGCAAATCCAGATATCATCCGATCAACTGAACTTACTGTTGAACATCCTTAGAGAGTCAAAACTAGGGGTGTTGAAGAATCCAGAAGATTAGGATTTGAGAAAACACAGAGAATAAATGCACCGGCGCCACTGCGAACGATTTTGAGCCATGTCGTTCAAGGTCTCTAACCATCGATTATTATCATCTCGCAGACCCCAACCAGGTAGTCGACAATTACCGACATGGCTCAGACCACTAGTCAATGACTTCATGGATTTCTGCCATGTTTTGGTCTGGCCGCCCCTAGCTTTCTTCCAACCTATTCCTATACTACAAAACAAAGTTCGTCGAGGCAGTCGGTGGTTCGGCATACGTAACACATGTCCCAACCACCTCAACTGATGAAGTTTCACCACTTCATCTATTGATCTGCCATCCTTGCCTAGTACTCGTTTCCTAACGACAGCATTGCTCACTCGGTTGTCCCACGGTATACGAGCAATGCTTCGAAGACACCTATGATCGAAAACCAGTAACCTACGAATGTCCTCTACTCTCATTGGCCAAGTTTCACAGCCATAATGTAAGACGGAGCGAACTGACTGCACAGTACACTCGTCCTTTGATTAGAGAACGGATATCACGCCTACGCCATAAGTGACGCAGGTTGGCAAAAGCCAGTCGAGCCTTCTGTATCCGTGCTGAGATTTCGTCAGTCACCAGGCCATCACAGCTGATGAGACTCCCTAGATAAGTGAAGCGGTCTACACGTTCGACTACTCTACTCCCTATCACTAGTTTAGGTGCCGATGCAACCCAGTCTTGAAGCAACATTTTGCATTTCGAGGGGAAAACCGCATCCCGAACATGCTGCCATTGTTGCTCTAAGTAGTCAGAAGACTCTGCATTTTGTCAGCGTCTTCACCAAGTAGGACAATGTCATTGGCATATTCTAAGTCAATAAGCGAGCCACCTGGTAGAAGGTCTACTCCTGAAAATTCAGACGAGGATAATGTTATGTCTAGGAGCATGTCTATGATAAAATTAAACAAAAATGGAGAGAGTGGACATCCCTGACGGACACCACTTGATGTAGAGAATTCCGGTGACAGTTCGCCATAAGCCCTCACTCGACCAGTGGTGTTCGAGTAGAGTGCTTGTATAAGGTTAATGTACTTCTTTGGAACACTCTTCAATGACAGACACTGCCACAAAACCTCACGATCCACTAAGTCACATGCCGCCTTAAGGTCCAGAAAAACTTTTGTCCTTCTTGTATATTGGGACAATTAGCGACTGAGACCAGTCAGATTACGTATAGTTCCCAGATTCTACCTAAGATCTCAGTCAATGTAGCTGTTAAACCTATCGCCGCTGCCTTTTCCATCGCTTTTGCTTTCACCATCCACCACTGTTCGCGGTCGTTACGCAGACTTTTTACAACTCTGCGCCTAAGTTGACTACGCTCTTCATCATGCTCAGAGTCAGGTGGGATGCGTTTTCGAGCATCCATCAGTTCGGTATATCCACAGCTTCATTCTAGCCTTGTGGTTTACCTTACTAGCAGATATCACTGCTGTTTCCACAGCCTTTTGATATCATACCAACCTGCTTCCGGGTGGGAATCACTGACATGGTTGCTTAACTCTCTTTCTAGTTGCTCCTGAAATATTTTCTTAGTTTGATTATCATTAAGTAAACCCCTAAGAGGCTTTCTTACGGTGTCTTCTCTACGTCCAATAAGCCTCAAACAGATACGAGCTCGCACTAGAGCATGATCTGAATCCAAACATATGCCCCAGAAAATAGTCAGTAATCATCGAAATTGAAATTATTTGGATGCGTCAATCAATCATTAAATAGTTTTTTCCGCTTTATTGCACTCAACAAACACCTTAAAAGTTTATTTTGTTTAGCAATATTTACCGCTGATATTTTATAATCATTTTTGTCATACAAAATTAGACCAAAAAGAACTTTGGACTTCACTCTAAAAATCAACCACAACTAATCACTTTTCCAGTTAGGAATGAAATAAATTCAGTGGATAAATAAAGATTATTCAGTACCGACTGATAACTAACTGGCTTGGTTCTAAGTTGAATACACTCTAGGTACCTAAATTTTAGGCTAGTAGTATTTACTAAAGTTTAAAGTTTCTATAAAGGAAATCCGGTACATGACCACAAACTGCTACGGTTTGAGTTTCATTGTCTAGAGAACCAATGAACACTAAATAATACTGGAAAGGTCTTTTATAATCATTTTAGTATCCTTGATAAAGCAGCGGTGATTTAATGGTCAAATTACTCGAGATTTGAACTCCCCCAGCCTTCTGAATCGGCTTAAGTAACCAAAATAAGTCACTAAACTTCTCACACAGAGAGGAATAAAATTGTGAATCAGAGCTTAGCACCAAGAACCTATACTTAATAGATAGATTGCAATTACAATTAATGATCCGAAAATGAGTCGGAATTTGAAGGTTTATACTTTTATTAAGTTCAATCAGCTGGCGTCTTTGGAGCTCCATAGAATAAAAGGATTGTAGCTATCGGTGGGACTTAGGTTGCACGTTTTTTCTTGTGTCGGATCTACCAGGTGAATATTCAATATGGATGTCAACATACGTTGAGACTTCATGTTTATACATTTAGCCGTAAATGCCAACAATACCCTTATTCATTGAGCCACTGAATCCTAATATCCACTAACTTGTTCGTGTATGGTGTTTCAATCACTATTGCAAAGTGTTTGAATCATCTCACTGTTAATTTTTAGTAACGAATTTCAATAAGTCTTCGTTGGAATAGGTGCATCTTGTGTAGATTGTATCGATACAACCATTTTGTTCCAAATAGGCGGAAACACATGTGGACTGTATGAACATTTTAGTGTCTGTTACAAGCAACTCCATACTCCGGTTTACTACATAATACAGTATCTGAAAAGCCCTCTTTTGTTAAAGATGTAACTCGATAGTTTAAAGTGTAGTTTCAAACAGTTATTCTCCGTATTGATGGTTTTTAGTAAGATTTTAAATGATATTAATTGGTTACAAGAACCGATTTTGAAAAATAATCAAAGCAATTAAAAAATTTATCATTACAAACGAAAAGTTGTCTTAAAATTGTATAACAAAATTAAACATAAATAACACAGAACAGCACCTACTTCATTTGCAACATCACCAACTAGATTAACACCACGTTTTAAAAATCGTCGACCAGCAAAGTGCCTTGATCTTCGAGCAATAAGAGTAATCATAATTGGCATTCGGCAAGCAGATAAGGCTAATTGACTAACAGTACCATGAAATAATAAAGTGAACCATTCAGGTTGATCACTGATGTGATGAGAACAATTACAATGAGAAGCTGGTCGAAATTTTGGTGGAATTAATCTCCAATTCCAAACATACTTATCATTGGGTATATATTTTGATGTTAGTAGACGATTGTATGTTTGTTGGTCAGATTTAAACAACTTGTAGAACAAAAAGAAATTAGATATTTAGAAACTTAACAACATAAAATCCATCTATGTAGCATAACTTATGACAGAGATACTCAAAGATGGAACAAGAATTAAATGTAAGACTTGCATCTTCGAAAAATTATGAGTATGCTTTTACTGGAGTATTATACATGATTTAAAGCTAACTACATTTAATTATATTACATTGTTACTGGGAAGTCCAAACGAGTTGCTCCGCAGAATATACTTTATCAACATCACTAAATATGTATTCTAGTGTTACACTGGAACAGGGAAGTGAATAAAACTTGTATACTTATCAACAGAGTGTTGGGGACGTGAGATACCCAGAACTCACTTGAAAGGGTCTTAATTTTATTCTGAAATTTTGAATTTTTGTGTTTTCGCGTCAGCTGACATTTCTCCCTTAGGAAAATCCTTGACTGTCATTAATTGATGGATTATTTTAGTACGCTATTTTGTGGCTCTCCCAAAGGTGTCTCTATCATAGTATAAATAAGCTTGATCTGAGCACCTAGAAATCGTATTTTCTGGGTGCTTGTAAAATATACATTCTCTACGCCTTATCAAGATTTCTTGCTTTTGTTAACGGGGTTGGGACAAACGGATTAGAATAGGTTATCATGTGACTGAGTCATTGATTTCGTTCCGTTTATCCAGTTTGGTGAACTCGTAATAGGATTCAAGCATATCATATCACAGAGTAATTTATTTTCTCACTGTCCAAAAAAGTAGTAGTCGAAAGAATAGTTGATAAAAATGTAGATTATTTGTAAAAGGAATAAACCAAGGATATTCGGAAAAATACACTGCATATCACCGAATATCTACTATACTAGGCATTTCACCAGTAAGATTAGAAAAATCTACGAAACCGATCTTTTTTACAACAAGATTGGTTACAAAGAAACAATCTGCTTAGACGGTCAACAAAAACATGGGTTATTAGATCAGTAGTATCTGAATTAAAAAACTTCATGTCAATGAGAACGAATGATACCATAACATTTGCTCAATTCAATGGTATGTTCCAATAAGTTTTCTTAACCTCTACAAGCTATGAATTAATATTACTATAGAATTTATTTATTTAGTTATGATTTCAGTTTTATATAGATCGAAAGGCATGACTAAAAACTTTGACACGGAATGTTCTCTTTTTAAAATAGTCTAGACTGAACACTGATTAAGCCAAATGTTAAATCCATTCTCATCGCTCTAAATTCATGTACACCGCTACCTTTTGGGTATCAAACCATACTACTTATTACTAAGTAGTATGGTTTGATACCCAAAAGGTAGCGGTGTAGATAAATTTAGAGCGATGTGAATGGATTTAACATTTGGCTTAATCAGTGTTCAGTCTAGACTATTTTAAAAAGAGAATATTCAGTGTCAAAGTTTTTAGTCATGCCTTTCGATCTATATAAAACTGAAATCATAACTAAATAAATAAATTCTATAGTAATATTAATTCATAGCTTGTAGAGGTTAAGAAAACTTATTGGAACATACCATTGAATTGAGCAAATGTTATGGTATCATTCGTTCTCATTGACATGAAGTTTTTTATTTCAGATACTACTGATCTAATAACCCATGTTTTTGTTTTGAACGGATTGACCGTCTAAGCAGATTGTTTCTTTGTAACCAATCGTGTTGTAAAAAAGATCGGTTTCGTAGATTTTTCTAATCTTACTGGTGAAATGCCTAGTATAGTAGATATTCGGTGATATGCAGTGTATTTTTCCGAATATCCTTGGTTTATTCCTTTTACAAATAATCTACATTTTTATCAACTATTCTTTCGACTACTACTTTTTTGGACAGTGAGAAAATAAATTACTCTGTGATATGATATGCTTGAATCCTATTACGAGTTCACCTTTCTCGGTAAACGGAACGAAAACAATGACTCAGTGACACGATACGCTATTCTAATCCGTTTTTCCCAGCCCCAGCTAACTAGATCAAGAAGTCTTGATGAGGCGTAGAGAGTGTATATTTTACAAGCACCCAGAAAATACGAGGTTTCTAGGTGCTCAGATCAAGCTTATTTATACTATGATAGAGACACCTTTGGGAGAGCCACAAAATAGCGTACTAAAATAATCCATCAATTAATGACAGTCAAGGATTTTCCTGAGGGGGAAATGTCAGCTGACGCGAAAACACAAAAATTCAAAAATTCAGAATAAAATTAAGACCCTTTCAAGTGAGTTCTGGGTATCTCACGTCCCCAACACTCTGTTGATAAGTATACAAGTTTTATTCACTTCCTTGTTCCAGTGTAACACTAGAATACATATTTAGTGATGTTGATAAAGTATATTCTGCGGAGCAACTCGTTTGGACTTCCCAGTAACAATGTAATATAATTAAATGTAGTTAGCTTTAAATCATGTATAATACTCCAGTAAAAGCATACTCATAATTTTTCGAAGATGCACATCCTTACACTTAATTCTTGTTGCATCTTTGAGTATCTCTGTCATAAGTTATGCTACATAGATGGATTTTATGTTGTTAAGTTTCTAAATATCTAATTTCTTTTTGTTCTACAAGTTGTTTAAATCTGACCAACAAACATACAATCGTCTACTAACATCAAAATATATACCCAATGATAAGTATGTTTGGAATTGGAGATTAATTCCACCAAAATTTCGACCAGCTTCTCATTGTAATTGTTCTCATCACATCAGTGATCAACCTGAATGGTTCACTTTATTATTTCATGGTACTGTTAGTCAATTAGCCTTATCTGCTTGCCGAATGCCAATTATGATTACTCTTATTGCTCGAAGATCAAGGCATTTTGCTGGTCGCCGATTTTTGAAACGTGGTGTTAATCTAGTTGGTGATGTTGCAAATGAAGTAGGTGTGGTTCTGTGGTATTTATGTTTAATTTTGTGATACAATTTTAAGACAACTTTTCGTTTGTATTGATAAATTTTTTAATTGCTTTGATTATTTTTCAAAATCGGTTCTTGTAACCAATTAATATCATTTAAAATCTTACTAAAAACCATCAATACGGAGAATAACTGTTTGAAACTACACTTTAAACTATCGAGTTACATCTTTAACAAAAGAGGGCTTTTCAGATACTGTATTATGTAGTAAACCGGAGTATGGAGTTGCTTGTAACAGACACTAAAATGTTCATACAGTCCACATGTGTTTCCGCCTATTTGGAACAAAATGGTTGTATCGATACAATCTGCACAAGATGTACCTATTCCAACGAAGACTTATTGAAATTCGTTACTGAAAATTAATAGTGAGATGATTCAAACACTTTGCAATAGTAATTGAAACACCATACACGAACAAGTTAGTGGATATTAGGATTCAGTGGCTCAATGAATAAGGGTATTGTTGGCATTTACGGCTAAATGTATAAACATGAAGTCTCAACGTATGTTGACATCCATATTGAATATCCACCTGGTAGATCCGACACAAAGAAAAAACGTGCAACCTAAGTCCCACCGATAGCTACAATCCTTTTATTCTATGGAGCTCCAAAGACGCTAGCTGATTGAACTTAAAAAAGTATAAACCTTCAAATTCCGACTCATTTTGGGATCATTAATTGTAATTGCAACCCATCTATTAAGTATAGGTTCTTGGTGCCAAGCTCTGATTCACAATTTAATTCCTCTCTGTGTGAGAAGTTTAGTGACTCACTTTGGTTACTTAAGCCGATTCAGAAGGCTGGGGGAGTTCAAATCTCGAGTAATTTGACCATTAAATCACCGCTGCTTTATCAAGGATACTAAAATGATTATAAAAGACCTTTCCAGTATTATTTAGTGTTCAATGGTTCTCTAGACAATCAAACTCAAATCGTGGCAGTTTGTGGTCATGTACCAGATTTCCTTTATAGAAACTTTAAACTTTAGTAAATATTACTAGCCTAAAATTTAGGTACCTAGAGTGTATTCAACTTAGAACCAAGCCAGTTAGTTATCAGTCGGTACTGAATAATCTTTATTTATCCACTGAATTTATTTCAGTCCTAACTGGAAAAGTGATTAGTTGTGATTGATTTTTACAGTGAAGTTCAAAGTTCTTTTTGGTCTGATTTTGTATGGCAAAAATGAGTATAAAATATCAGCGGTAAATATTATTGAACAAAATGAACTTTTAAGGTGTTTGTTGAGTGCAATAAAGCGAAAAAAAAACTATTTAATGATTGATTGACGCATCCAAATAATTTCAATTTCGATGATTACTGACTATTTTCTGGGGCATATGTTTGGATTCAGATCATGCTCTAGTGCGAGCTCGTATCTGTTTGAGGCTTATTGGACGTAGAGAAGACACCGTAAGAAAGCCTCTTAGGGTTTTACTTAATGATAATCAAACTAAGAAAATATTTCAGGAGCAACTAGAAAGAGAGTTAAGCAACCATGTAAGTGATTCCCATCCAGAAGCAGGTTGGTATGATATCAAAAAGGCTGTGGAAACAGCAGTGATATCTGCTAGTAAGGTAAACCACAAGGCTAGAATGAAGCTGTGGATATCCACCGAACTGATGGATGCTCGAAAACGCATCCCACCTGACTCTGAGCATGATGAAGAGCGTAGTCAACTTAGGCGCAGAGTTGTAAAAAGTCTGCGTAACGACCGCGAACAGTGGTGGGTGGTGAAAGCAAAAGCGATGGAAAAGGCAGCGGCGATAGGTTTAACAGCTACATTGACTGAGATCTTAGGTAGAATCTGGGAACTGGACGTAATCTGACTGGTCTCAGTCGCTAATTGTCCCAATATACAAGAAAGGACAAAAGTTTTTCTGGACCTTAAGGCGGCATGTGACTCAGTGGATCGTGAGGTTTTGTGGCAGTGTCTGTCATTGAAAGGTGTTCCAAAGAAGTACATTAACCTTATACAAGCTCTCTACTCGAATACCACTGGTCGAGTGAGGGCTTATGGCGAACTGTCACCGGAATTCTCTACATCAAGTGGTATCCGTCAGGGATGTCCACTCTCTCCATTTTTGTTTAATTTTATCATAGACATGCTCCTAGACATAACATTATCCTCGTCTGAATTTTCAGGAGTAGACCTTCTACCAGGTGGCTCGCTTATTGACTTAGAATATGCCGATGACATAGTCCTACTTGGTGAAGACGCTGACAAAATGCAGAGTCTTCTGACTACCCTAAGCAACAATGCAAGCATGTTCGGTATGCGGTTTTCCCCCTCGAAATGCAAAATGTTGCTTCACGACTGGGTTGCATCGGCACTTGAACTAGTGATAGGGAGTGAAGTAGTCGAGCATGTAAACCGCTTCACATATCTGAGGAGTCTCATCAGCTGTGATGGCCTGGTGACTGACGAAATCTCAGCACGGATACAGAAGGCTCGACTGGCTTTTGCCAACCTGCGTCACTTATGGCGTAGGCGTGATATCCGTTCTCTAATCAAAGGACGAGTGTACTGTGCAGCAGTTCGCTCCGTCTTACATTATGGCTGTGAAACTTGGCCAGTGAGAGTAGAAGACATTCGTAGGTTACTGGTTTTCGATCATAGGTGTCTTCGAAGCATTGCTCGTATACCGTGGGACAACCGAGTGAGCAATGCTGTCGTTAGGAAACGAGTACTAGGCAAGGATGGCAGATCAATAGATGAAGTGGTGAAACTTCATCAGTTGAGGTGGTTGGGACATGTGTTACGTATGCCGAACCACCGACTGCCTCGACGAACTTTGTTTTGTAGTATAGGAATAGGTTGGAAGAAAGCTAGGGGCGGCCAGACCAAAACATGGCAGAAATCCATGAAGTCATTGACTAGTGGTCTGAGCCATGTCGGTAATTGTCGACTACCTGGTTGGGGTCTGCGAGATGATAATAATCGATGGTTAGAGACCTTGAACGACATGGCTCAAAATCGTTCGCAGTGGCGCCGGTGCATTTATTCTTTGTGTTTTCTCAAATCCTAATCTTCTGGATTCTTCAACACCCCTAGTTTTGACTCTCTAAGGATGTTCAACAGTAAGTTCAGTTGATCGGATGATATCTGGATTTGAGAAACGTTTTAAAATGACATAAGATGTTAATTCATAAAATTCATTGAACCAATCGACTCTATTAGACGAGAAAATACAGGAAAAAAAAGAAAAAGTTTTAGAGTACAGCAGATTTTTTTAAAAAAAAACAATACTCTTACAGATTATTATTTACCAAATAAAAAGGAACTATACAAGTTTTTGTATCATTCAACGATTAGTGAGAATTATGTGTATATAAAAGGAAATTAATTTGAGTTTTTACTTTTATTCAGTCTGAATACAACAAAAGAGCTCTGATATCTCTGATATCTCTCTAAACTTTTCTCACTGAATCATACTTCTTGAATAGTATCTTCTAACCCTAACCTCTTCGATTACTTCTAATTCCCCTAATACCTCTACTACTATTGGATTTTAATTGACAATTATATCTCTGTGCTGATGTGGTATGGCAACATGAACTGATGTACTTACGTACGAAGTTCTACATTGCATCTGACTGACTGATTACTGACTATTAATGCCGAGGATTATGGGTTACTTTATGCCTTCCAGCAGCATATATCGTACAACATCTACTCGTACAAGATTGATCACGTATTTGATAATATACTGCCTAGTAGTTAAATGTAGTAAATTTTTCCGTCTTATTGTCGTAATTGAATGCAGTTATACCCATTGTAGCTTGGGAAGCGTAGTTGGGTCATCCTACCACCTTGTGCTAGTGTTGTAACAACTGGATGTTTGATTTATATTTTTGGCTTAAGTTTCAATATATAGTTTCTTAACAACAGTTCTAAACGGGTTTTTTTCAGGTCGAAACGGAACAAATAGTACACGACACCTCATATGCATTTCTTCGCCATGGACGTGTTTCATCATATGTACAAATGCGTGGTTCTGTACCGTTATTCTGGTCACAAGAGTCATCTAAAGTTGTTGTCGGCAGACCACCTTTAGAAATTCTAGTAAGTTTTTGATGTTTTGACATCATGACCTCTATTCTCTTTTTAATTTTTTTTCACTGGGACGTACTTCTTGAATCATATCTTCGATTCCTAATCTTCTCCATTATCGCTTATACTTACTTCTATTACCCCTACCACTATGGGATTTGAATTGATAACGGCATCTCTTTGCTAATGTGGTATGACAACTCTTGAACTGATGTACGTATGAACCAAGTCCTATGTTGTTGCTAAGTGACTGGCTGATCTGTTTTACTAGTGATTGCCGAATGGAACAAAACATGAATTTTCAGGGTTTTCCAAAGATAACTCTCGGTTACCTTTCATCAGAACGTGGTTATCATAATATCGAATCACATGACTTATTGGTCATATTGCTTCAACAACAGTTTGGCTAGTACACTATTTTTCGATTTTTTCCCCGAAATCACGTAAATGTTACTGTAACTTTAGAGCATAGTAATTCCTCAAGTCATGTAGTCGCAACCGCTGTAGCATTGATGAATCCCAAGATTGATACTATTCTGAACATCAACCCCATGATTCCGGTGCTTGTTGATCCAGGTCGCTAAAGATGCTTATTGTCAAACCAGTTTTTAACCAATCATCTCCTATTTTCAAAATCCTAAATCAGTGAGCGTTTCTTATACTGCATTGCAAATCTATTTGGATTAAATTTCATAACTGTTCTGATTGAATTGTTGTCTAAGCTCGAAAAATCTGTTTGTAAGACTTTTCAGACTATCATCATCTGTACATTTCATGGTTGCCTCCATAATGCAAATAAATAAAGCACTATAATTTTGCAAGTCAATTTTCAACGTATGAGAATCATTTTCAGAGTTCTTATTATTAGTTCATAAATAAATAATGACTTATATAATTTTTACTGACTTGAAAACATTTAGTGAATGTATTTTCACTTAATCAAAATCCAGAACTTCAATTTTTTACGAAGTGTTTTCGGAAATTTTTTTGGAAATGTAGGAGAATAGATTTCGTGTACAGGTAAATTGCACAAGAATTGATGTATAGATTTTAGTTAGCGATCAAAATCGATCGTAGAAGAACAATGGTAAATCCTCTTATTTTATAAATTCAGCCAATCAGTCATCGGGAATGTAGAACGTGACACACATCATATAATGCAACTTGTTTGTTTGTTTCACTAAGTAATGAAATACCTTCCTAATTAAGTGGAGCCCACTTTCTCATTATACTTTAAACCTTTCTTGTTATTGATTATCGTACTCGATGCTTAATGGAAATTGACAGAAACCGTTGATCTGTTTACTCGTTATTATTGTATTCAGGCTTAATCTACTGTAATATTTTGGCACTGAAATATGTGCTTCTATTGTTTTGTATTGCTAACAGGCATTTCCACTCTCTGAATAACCTCATAAACACGAAATCATCCTCTACTCATTAACAGATTCACTTAATTCAGTCCTGGATTTATTTCCTAGGCTTTAGTAATCGGATAATGTACCTAACTATGATACTGAATATCGCTCTCTTGATCCTTAAGGATCTTAAAATTCTCTCTCAACTGTAAGACTAAGTATAAATCACACTATTAATTGAGTTACGCTTCGAAATTTTCTGAATATAGAGTACCATTCTTGAGAAAACAATATGATACATGAGTTTAAATGGTGGTACGTTCAGGCATTCTTTTTAACATGTAAAATATGGTTAGCGAGAAATTCCACTCCTCAAATAAGTAAACAAATGTAAATTTACAGTACTTACTGTTTATTAACAAGTATCACATAGCTTTATCAAAAGGTTATATAGGTCGAAAAACAAAAATAACCTAAATACTCTAAATAAACATGATTTCAAAGGGTGATGTAAATAAGAAATACCAAACAATGACAGGAAGAAGAATTAAAAACCAGATAATAAACCAGACTAAAAATCAGATTATAAGACGGTGTAACGTTTACTACTGATTATTAGTAAGTAGTATGTTGTGATACAAAAATGGGTTTACAGCTGAAAGCGATCGGTAAATTGACCATCGAGTTTATTTTGTTTTTATATTCAATAAGTTAACAAATTCTTATTGCCTGAACTTCACTGTCTGAAGAAACTGTAGAGAGCACTGAATATTATTATTATTATTATTATTAACAGATTCTCTTCAGTTGAGACTGTAATTTCTTAATCATTTTAATTAATTTTTCATATCTTCAGCGTGATGATCCGTTTTATGAATCGATGGGTTTACATTTTGCCAGTTTACTTGAACGTCATGGATCTCCAGTTATTGTACTTAATTTAATGAAAAAACGAGAGAAAAGACATTTCGAAACAATTTTATCTGATGGATTTGAACGTGGAATTATCTATTTAAGTCAAGTAAGCTAATAATGTTATGTATCTATTGCTGTTATAGTGAATTTCATTAAGTAATTAAATTGAATTCAGACAATGAAAAACGTCCTCTTGTGACAATCACAGGAGTATCAGTCTAACTAATATAGTTTCTAAATTGTTAGCCTCGATTATACTTAGACGTCTAACTAGAGCTCGTGAAGAGCAGACTCGAGAAAACCAGTCTGGTTTACGACCTGGACGTGGTTGTATAGACCACATCTTCACACTACGACAGGTCCTGGAACACAGACACACATTTAAGCGTCCTACAATAGTTGTTTTCCTGGACCTTAAGGCGGCATTTGACTCTGTTGATCGTGAGGTTCTGTGGCAGTGTCTGTCATTGAAAGGTGTACCAAATAATTACATTAACCTTATACAAGCTCTCTACTCGAACACCACAGATCGAGTGAGAGCATATGGCGAACTGTCATCTGAATTCTCTACTTTGAGTGGTGTCCGTCAGGGATGTCCACTCTCTCCATTCTTGTTTAACTTTGTCGTAGACATCCTCTTAGAGTTAACATTAAGCTCGTCAGATTTTTCAGGGGTTGACCTTCTACCAGGAAAATCGCTTACTGATCTAGAATATGCCGATGACATAGTTCTATTCGGTGAAGACGCTGACAAAATGCAGAGTCTTCTGACTACCCTAAGCAACAATGCAAGCATGTTCGGGATGCGGTTTTCCCCCTCAAAATGCAAAATGTTGCTTCAAGATTGGGTTGCATTGGCACCTGAACTAGTGATAGGGAGTGAAGTAGTCGAACGTGTAGACCGCTTCACTTATCTTGGGAGTCTCATCATTGCCGATGGCCTGGTGACTGACGAAATCTCAGCTCGGATACAGAAGGCTCGATTGGCTTTTGCCAACCTGCGTCACTTATGGCGTAGGCGAGATATCCGTTTGCTGACTGAAGGACGAGTGTACTGCGCAGTAGTTCGCTCCGTCTTACTTTATGGCTGTGAAACATGGCCAATGAGAGCAGAAGATATTCATATGTTATTGGTTTTTGATCATAGGTGTCTTCGAAGCATTGCTCGTATACCGTGTATGCAGCGCAGTGTTACTGAGAATTTACTACTAAAGTGAAGAGTGTCAAATCCGGATGTACGGCTCAATCAAAGTGTTTTTAAGACTAGAAGATATATAAAAGAAGACTATATATAATCCACTTGTTTTGTAAATGGTAACTGGAAGACTAGGTGTAGACATTTTGCTAGTAAACTGTGTCTTCTTCAAAAAAATCATTTATTCCACCAGGTCTTATCGTTTTTACTCAATCCACACATGGATATAAGTAGGCCTCGTTATTGTTTTAGGAGGACGAGGTTACTGTACCGTTCTTGTCCAACTTTGCCCAGTTGTCTTACGAGTATTCTTACCTTCGTGGCTTCATCAAGTTTATCGACTTAAATCTCAACAGATATTTATATTTCTTGAACCAGGATTCAAATATAATACCAGCCGAACCATTGAAACGCAGTTCATGAATAGAATAGATGATGGCATCGGTTTATAATTTACATGATTCATAAGTTGACCGTCTCTAATAACAATTTATTTACTGCGTTAGAGTTTCTAGGACCTATTCAAACCATTTAGCCAGGCTTTCAAACAAAGCTTCAACTTGTTCATGAGAAAATGACACTGTAAATAGTACAATTGTAAAATCATCCCATCTAGTAGTTCTACTTGTTTTTAGTACCGAAGTTATATGCCATATTAGCCGTATCAATCAGAAGACATAACATTTAGTAGAAGTGAATGAGTAGTGATTCACAAGGTAAATCGGCATTTTTCATATTCATACTAACATCAATTTTTCATATAGTTAAATGTTCATATCAGGGATTAATGTAACTAGAAATGGTAGAAATCGATTTTTGAAAAAAGATATATAACACGTAAAGTACATTTATTGTAAATTTAAAATATCTACCTTCTATTCTATTGTAGAACAATGTAAATTGATAGACTAATTTCATTATCAATTTGTTATTTCAATTACTTAATCAATAATCACCTTATGTTTAAAACATATTGTCGTGAAAGTACTTACATCTTTCAGACTTTATTGGTTTATCTCATTGAATTCATTCATTGTCTGTATCTTTTTTGAAAAAAAAATATTCATTGTGACGGTATGCGACTGAGTTAGCAATAATCCATTTAGGTCATTCATTCATTCATTCATTGGTTAGTGAAGTAGAAATGTTCCTTCTCTAGATTTTAATGTATGTGTTACATGTTCGAAATAACTGTACTGGACAATGTTTTATCATTTGAACCAATCAACACAAATTGGTCAACCACTTTTTTTTAACTTGTAATTTCAATTTACTGAAGATTGTATGTAGCTAGTGTTATTTTTTCTAAGTATTTATTCTTCGTAATCACAGTTCGATGAAATATTAGGTTCTCTGGGCTTAAAAATAACACTTATTGTCTAGTCCAATTACATTACACCAGTAAAATATTTTTGTAATACTACCGGCTAATTTACATTTTTTAATGCATGAATCAGGTGATATTCGCTGTACAAAAATAAAACATCAGTTGACATAATTGCTCGTCATCCGTGGTTGGTTGTTGTTGCGTTTACATCAGTGAATAGTACAATGAATTTGTTTTTCTTTCCTGATGGAACACTATAGTACCCGTCAAATACTGTTATACTGCTGCTACGTAGCTCTTCAGTTCTAGCGGTGTCCAAATTCAAATATCCCAATACGACCCAAATACTATTTCCAAATCTCCTAGATATCAGGACGCAACACCGTTGGATGGAGTTGTTTATTGGATCGAGTACAGAAGAGAGGTAGGCAGGAAGAAACGGAATCGGAATCTTACAGATGGTGCGTATTTTTACATTAAGGTCGAATAGGAAAGAGCATCCAAGTCTGTGACATTGACAGTCCGGATGACCAATCAGAGACAACATTGAAGTATTTGACTTTGACAGTTAAAACGACCATAATTTTGACCAATAGAAATCGACCAATAGGGTTATACTTCCAAAAATAGTACTCTTAGGATATTTGCTGAATATCCTAACAAATACATACATGATGTAATTACTTTATCACTCACTTATACTTTCACTCTGTCAAACATTCCAGTATTGATTACTCGGAAATTTCTTTGTTTTTATCTTTCATCTCATATTATCAGTCTTAAAATTATGAATTGATCATCATTATTCTTATCTTGTATATTTTTCTGTTAGTTTTTACCTTCTAGAATTCCTCAACCATCTGATTCATTAAGTACACTATTTACTGAAACAATTGATAGTAGTCCACCTATTATGTACATTGGATTCGACATTGCTCGTGTACAAAAAATGAAACGTACAGTTGTTCTTGATAAATTACAGCCTATAATAGATAATTGTGTACGTCGTACTGGAATATTCTTTTCATCTTCGGCTTCTTTACCAATTTCAGAAATTCAATTTGAAAAACATAGAACAATTGGTTTTAAGTAAGTTTCTATTGAAATAGCTTTATGTCGTACGTATGTTTAACAGTTGTAATAGAACCAGTCAGTGTTAACCATTTAGCTAAATTGCCTTATTGGAAATATCTTTTTTTCTAATGGAAGTTAATGAAATGGAAAATTACGGAACGTCATATGATTTACCACTTAGCGTCATTTATTTCACACGGAACATACAATTTTATCTACTGTTTTGTGTTGTTTAAAGAGATTATTGTACCATTCACATAAATGAATATCAAATACAGTTAAATGACGATATGCTTATTTATGAACTAAATTGCAAACTACAGGAATCAAACTATCTATCTTAGTAGCTGTTACATTGTGTATATATTATGTTGCAGATGATCGTAGCTATGATGCCTGAAGGAATACATCATATCATCTATTAGATAGATGTGAAAAATCTTTCCAACCAGACGTTGTGATAATAGACGGTGAATTGAATGAGCAGTTGGTGTGTTTGAGTACTTAAGAGACGGTCGTTTTGGTGGATAATTGTAATCTTCACTTGCAACTTTGTGCAAGTCATAATCCATTCCTGACTCGTTCCAACTCCTGACACTTTACTAGTATATTTTGGAGTGCCTGTCTGAATCTTAATCATACAAAAATATGTACGAAACTAGCGTTCAGTTCTATAGTACAACAAACAGTGTGATGTATACATATTGACAGGATTTCAGTTAGTCAGTCACATGCTATGTAGAACGTGGCACACATGTATATCGGTTCAAGTTGCTATACCCCATTGGCATACGGAGATGAAATAGTCAGGACAAATCTCAGAGTAGTAGAGGTAATGAAATCCTAATTATTAATAAAACAGACTAAGCATCAAAGATTTGATTCTAGAAGGAAATATGGGTTAGTGAACTAAAAACGAAAAAAATTATGAAGAATTCGGGAACTTGAGATTGAAGAGAATATGAGGAGAGAATATACCTGCTCCATTGTTAATAACTCCTAGCCATTTTTCTGGCTGAAAAATAACCTAATCCCACTTTAAATTTCATTGGTATTCATGACTAAATGCTACTATTACTAACTAACTAACTAACTGAATACTCTTATGGTTTACTATTTTATTACAGCTCTAAACAATGTGGAATAATTCGAGTAAATTGTGTTGATTGTTTGGATCGAACTAACACTGCACAGTTTGTTATCGGTCGAGTTGTTTTAGCTTATCAATTATATGGATTAGGCTTTTTAGCTGAACCCGATTTTATGGATAATTCACAAATTGATCGATTACTACAGGTGAAATGCTGTTCATTACTTCGTTTTGGCAAACTTTTTAATTGGTATCTATCTATATTATACTGATCATCTATTTTGCTTAACTAAATTCTTTTTTTGATAGGGCTGTTCATTTCATAAACTTATGGATTCCAAGATTTCCATTTGTATTGATCAGTCAACAGTAGAATTTTATTACATAATGTATTTATCGTGCTGTTTAGAGGTTTACCGCAAATACAATCTTTCATTTTCGTGTATGTTTACTGATTATGAAATTCATCTTACTGAGGGAGAGTACTTCCACAACTTTTTTGTTTCTCTCTCACTTTGATATATATTGAAGTAACTGAGTAAATTCAGAACTTTGACAACGTTGGTGACTGAGAACTACCACTAACTCTTGAAAATTGTATTGATTGACTCTTCTTATATTTATAGATCATATTGATTTCCTATATCAATATCCTATTCCAATACTGGTTGATTTTTTTTAGCTTCTAAATTTATTTATATAACTCAGTCAATCAATGATTATCCTTTAAAATAAAATTTTTCTAAAAATTCACCTTTGATAAAACGTCTATTATTATTATTATTATCTAAGTGAAGCAGTGAAAACTGTTAAAGAGTCTTAAACTAGTGCAGTGCGAAATAGTTAGTTCAGTTCATCTTGGTTTCCCATAGTTCTACAATTGATCTCAGTTTGCCAAGAAAACTATTTTCGCATATCATTCAATTAAATTAAGCAATTCAAATATTTCAAAAATGTAGCTTTATATTTTTTTTTAACTTTTATTTTACAATAATTAAATAATAAAAATCTGATTATTTTCAAGAGTTAAATTAATCTTATTTAGACATGATATGATATCTCATGATGTTGAAATAAGCATTTATTTTAGTTTTTAATTTAACTTGTCTAGAATGTAATGTGTTTCCTATTTAAAGTTGTATGATAAAGATTTCATAACACTTTACCATACTTGTAGATTTATGTAATAATCTAGATTTGTTTTGAATGGTATTCTGAGTTTTTGTATAAAAACAACGACTAGATAACACGATAATAACAAGAGATCTATTAGTCAATAATATTGATTTAAACTGTAAACTTAATTGTATTGCGGTGTTCAAAGTGAAACAAAGATTCTTAATTATCCGGCTGTGATTTTGGAAATCACTTTGTTTTAATGGGTGTCGAATGCGTCACAAAATCATGGCTGACTAATTTCATCTTGAAAGATCGATGTTCATCATTTAACTATAATTAGGATGGAAAAAATAGGCACTTTCATCAATGTTAAACTGTATGCTAGATAATTAGATTGATATCTCCGCCTGTAGATCCCCTGGGGCTGCTGCCCGTCCCAAGACGGGATATAGGAGGAGGGTTGGGTTTGGGGTTAGCGACCCCGTCCCGTAGAAAACTAACTAGCTAAAAAACGCTAACAATAGAAAATAATTCAAACCATATAAACTCTGTTCTAGGAGTTAAAAGGTCTTCGTTTAGAGGAGTTATGACGTCTCATGATGAAAGCCGAGTTCCTTCGGAAGTCACGAGGCCGATGACCTTTCTGACAGCCAGAACCTTTCCACTGTGTGGGCAGATGGGAAGTAATATCCGTCCACATATCCATAAAGCTCACGAATTAAGTTGATAGTATTAAACACTGAAATGGACATTAATTATGTGATACCCTATCATTGGAATATCCAACAACTGATCAAGAACTAGATAAAGCCGCAACCTGAGTATATTGTGTCAGATGTATGTGACAGTACACATAAATCTCTTTATCTACGTTCAATAACTAATCACACCTCATTTTCATTGGATATGTCAAATTTACTCACCTTTAATTCTGATACAGATGATGATGAACAATATATACTACTCTAGTTCTGCTCATCTGATTTGTTTTGATTGGTTGCTCTCCTTTACTTTTGAAGCATTAACTTAAATGGGTCAGATTGATCTGACAAGACTAAATGGCTGAAACATGGTTAGTAATAATCTCGGTGATGAATTCCTGTCATTTAATTTAACTTCTTTGGACTCATATATACGAAGCTGTTATTATGTATTGAGCTAAATAGTCTTACTCATCAACAACTCGATATAAAAGATGATAATTAGTTAGTTCTGAATCAGTATCACCCTTTTGTGTCTCAGTTGTAATCTTCTGAATTTCTCATCACCTTTATCTTTCTCTTTCAAATATATTTCACTGAATTATACTTCTTGAATCATATCTCTGAACCCTCATCTCCATTACCGCTAATACTTCTGCTAACTCTCCTACTATAGGATTTGAATTGACAGTTTTGTCTCTGTACTAATGTGGTATGGCTATCTGAACTGATATATTTACGTACGAAGTTCTACGTTGTAGCTGACTGACAGACTGACTGAGTCGTCTCAATCTCTTATGTTTGATAACCAAAGGGATCTTATTCAAGTCCCATAACGTCATATACAATTTCTAAGATTCCTCGAATCGATTTTGTCATGGTTCTTTAGACATTTGCAATCTTTCTTACAATAAAAGTTAGCTATTTGTATACTTCAGTTTTTGGCTGACAATCATGCCTAACTTTTGTCCCATACATATGCACATATTAATCACTTTATATAAACTAATGATCTTTCTTATCTAAATTTTTTGAAAAAAAAATTATGAATTTTTAGGATTTATACGATGAACATGGAGATACATTAGCTTTACAATATGGTGGTAGTCAATTAGTGCACAATATAAATACTTATCGTAAAACAAAAAAACTATCAAGTCATTCTCGTGATTTTGTTCAAACATTGTCTCGGTAAGTTTATAAACAGATTGAATTTTCTTTGTACAATGGAATTTATTTATACTTTATTCATTACTTACTATTTTATATTCCTATTGTGATATAGACAATTATTCCATGTATTTGGACAATTATTGATCTAGAGTGAAACTTTAATATCTTTTATTGTTGTTTTTAAAGTGTGAATGTCTCATTTTCGCATATATTAATTGATTGAATGTAAGTACCAATGCTATTGATGAGTTTTGATTGGTAGCTTTGTTAAACACTTAGATTTATCCTTTTCCTCACACCTCTATTGATACTTTTACAAGCTAGCAGCTACCTGAATACATGAACTCTTGGACCACTTCTATTTGCTCACTATCAAGAGTGAGTGCAGATTCAATATCGTGTTAGTTTTGTAAAAGTACTTTGCAGTTAAAATGTGAAAAACACATGCCATACCTATGAATACTGATTGCCAACTCATTGATTGCGAATCGCATCGTTTGGCAATCATTTTACAGTAAGATAGTTTTATCCATATGCTCAAGGTTGATAAGTTTTTCTCAAGGTAACAGATCCATATCACCGTAATCTACATCCATCATAGCTGTTTCAAGAACGTTATCGATGTCAAAGTAAAACAGTAATGGTAAGATTATGTAATGCTGTCTCATCCCACTGCCTAGACAAAACAATGGTGGTTGTATGACTGTCGAATGCTGACCTCAAAATATTTGTATTGATATTACTTGCTAGTTTTTAAATGGCACCTAACTGCATACACTACTGTTTGTCGGAATTTGTCCCGACCGTAGCTGCTACCTTGACGTGGTGGTCGGGCTTGCCTATCGTGATGACCCAACCGAGCTATACTGGCTGGAACATATGTACTACCTGGTAGTTTTAAAAAACGTTCTCCACATTTGTAAAACGATAACGTGTTTTGTTTAACATATATAGATAAGTTATTTAAAAAGCCGGTTAAAAAATTCATGTAATAACTGATTGTCTAATTGTTTAATGTTTATCATTAAAGTCCTTCATACATCAAATCTCTCAGTCAACCTTTATAGCTATCTATGTGGATGCGTTTTCTTTCAAGTTCAAAACATCTCATGATCGTATAAGAGAAATTTTTATATTTTCTTACATCGTTTTTTTTCTTCAGAGTAAATTATTTTCTTCTTATTATGTACTATTGCAAATTTTAAATATTATTTCATATGATAAACTTTTGTACATAGTGTGTTACTACACAATATCTATTTATCATGATAACAAAAGATAAAATCAATATATTGTATATAACTTTGATTTTCACATTTGTGTTAATTAAAGTGATACTGGTGAAATCAGGAGTCGTTGTTTTTTTTAAAAGTATTGTTTTCTTATTAGTGATATATATATATATATATATATATATATATATATATATATATATATTAGTTACTACTTTATCAGTTTTACTTGTCCAATAACGTATTATTGATATGCTTCAACGCTGTTACGAGTTCACCTTACTCGGTAAATAGGACGAAGCAATGACTCAGTGACTCGATTGGCTGTTCTAATCCGTTTGTCCTCAGCCCGGCTAACTATATCAAGAAGTCTTGATAAGGCGTAGAAAGTGTATATTCTACAAGCACCCAGAAAATACGAGGTCGACAAGCACACAAATCAAGCTTAATTATACAATGATAGCAACGTCGTTGGGAGAGCCACAAAATAGCGTACTAAAGTACTACATCAACCAATGACAGCCAAGGATTTTCCGACCGGGAAATGTGGGCTCAGGGTCAACTAAGCGACTTATGTGCCAAAACATAAAAAGTTCAAAATTAGGACACTTTGCAAGTGATTTCTGGGGATCTAACATCCCCAACAATTATTAAGTTAGGAAAATTAAAAGATATATCATTTCAGACCTTCTGAAAAAATATGTTAAATGAACATGTAGTTTTAGTAAAATCATCATAATTGTAATATAAAAGACTACTAGATAACAGTTTCCACTTTACTAATCTCATAGTTAAGAGTATCGTGTAAAAGTGATTATTTGTTGATTCAGTAATTTCCATATATATCTATTCCATATATTTCTATAAGGAGATGAAACACACTTTCCTAAACCAATGATCACTGTTAATTGTAATTCAGAAATTAAACGTACTCGACTTAAAGCTATATGTTAATGGTACTACAAAACTGCCTAAGCCGAACAGAAAGTAAACTGAAATTTTTTAACCTGTGTTTGAGTTGTTGAAAGTGCTGCAAACGCTCAGTTTATTACTATTAAGTCATCTCAAACACTGAAAAACGATTCGACTAATTATTATACCATAACTGAGTAATCAGTATCTGCTCTGTTGGTCTATAAGAACGGACAAAAGTCCTCTTTTGACAATCACAGAGAAATCAGTTTAACTAATATAGTATCTAAAATATTGGCCTCTTTAATACTCGGACGCTAAAGTCACTGACGAGTGGACTGAGTCATGTTGGTAGACGCAGACTACCTGGTACGCGAGACGAAAGTCACTGATGGTTGGAGACATTGAATGACATGGCTCAAAATCGTTTGCAATGGCACAGGTACATCCACTCTTTGTGTTCTCTTAAATCCTAATCTTCTGGATTCGTCAACGCCTCTACCTTTGTCTTTCTAAACTTATCTCACTGAATTATACTTCTTGAATAATATCTTCGAACCCTAATCTTCTCCATTACCGCTAATACTTCTGAGAAGACTGAGGCAGGCTCGATAGATTGTATTTGGCAAATTTACACTCTTAGTCAATTAAAAACGAAAACATCACATTGAACACTCTATTTGCACATCATCTTTGAGTCCTGACTTCCAACGCTCCAGCCTTCTTCCATTCCTGCTGTTGCTTCCTTTACTTCCTGTCGGTGCTCTATTTATTTCTTGCTTTTGCTCTATTTGCTTTCCGTTTTCCTCTTCTGACCGTGAGACTTCTTCTTTCACGTCCATTCTTATACTACTTATATCGTTCGTATAAGTAGCACACACCACACTTCTACTATCTCCACATTCTATGGAATTTGAACTGACAGATGCGTCTCTGTGCTGATGATAACGTAAACTGATGTACTTACGTACGATGTTCTACGTTGTAACTGACTGAGTATCTACTATTATATTGGCTTTATATCAACTACAGTTTGATTTTTTTTTCACTGAAATCCTAGTTATATCATCTTATCTATCTAAAAAATGTCTATTATAGATTTTTACCTCGTTTACTTTTTTTTTCCAGATATTATTCTAATAAATTTTCTGATTGGGAAAAACAATGTGCAATAAGTTTATTTTTACGTATTTATCGTCCTAATCTATGGTCTGGTACATTATATGATTTTATAAAAAATCATCTCATTCCAAGGTATTCAATAAAAGAAACGGAAACACTCAAATCAGTTAATTATTCCTCTGATAAACTAGCTATTTTTCATTCAGATACAGATCAAATTCTAGCTAGTGTCGCTGCTTCATTATCTGGTTGTATCTGGGATTTGGGCAGTGATGCTTATTTACATTGGTTAGATGCTTGGGCACGTTTACCAACTAGTCGTTATTCACTAACTGATTGGTGCTCATGTGATCTTTTGCAATGTTTACCTAGAGGAAAGTGTATAACACAAAAATCAAGTCTTTATAATAAGCGATGCCTTGTATTACCATCAGATGATATCAGGTAAGTGAGGTTGGAAGCAGAAAAGCTGAATGTAATTTTCTAAATTCATAAGTCGTTAAATATTCGATAGAGCATGGGCTATCGATCAGCATTCTCTGACCAACTCTGTCCTGGACCTTCCTTTCCAGTTCTACTCAATTGCTATTCATTCTTTCCTCGTCTGTTACCGAATCTCAGCACACTGTGTTATTTGGTTTACCTCTTCTCCTTTGACCTTGAGGGTTCCAAGTTAAGCTTGCCTCGTGACGCAGTTGGGAGGTTTCCAGAATGTGTCTTCTATTCACCGCGAACCCTTTTTCCTAATTTATTCCTCAGCTAGAAGAAGCTGTTTTGTTCTCTACCACAGTAGATTGTTGCTAATGGTGTCTGGTTAACGGATGAGGAATATTTTATGTAAACAATTTTTAATAAACACCTGTATCTTTTAAATGATGGTTTTTCGTGGTTTTCCAAGTTTCCGCTCCATATAGCAGAACTGTGTTGATGTTTGTATTGAAAATTGTGACTTTGGTGTTGGTTGATAGTTGTTTAGAGTTCCAGGTATTCTTCAATTGTAGAAATGTTGCCAAACTGGTGGGTGGCCTATGCTCCATTGGGGGTAACAGGCGTAAGTAAGTAAGTAAGAAATGTTGCCCTTGCTTTGCCAACCCCTGTCTTCAAATCGGCTTCAGATCCACCTTGCTCATCAATGATGCTGCCCAGATATGTAAAGGTTTCCACATCTTCCAATGCTTGTCGGTCAAGCTCGATTTGGTTGGTGTAATGTTGTGTTGTGTCGAAGGATCTTGCTTGTTCCCTTGTGTATTTCGAGGTCTACAGAGGCTGCTTCTACAATGACTGTCTTCTCCTGCATTTGTAACTGTATGTGGGGTGGAAGGGTTAGTTCATCTACAAAGTTCAGATCGTCCAGCTGCATCCTAGCGGTCCACTGTATCCCGTGCTTCCCTCCAGATGTTGACTGTCTTCTGAGTTACACCATAGTGCTGAAGAAGTCTTCATAATGTCATCTTGTCCACGTTCTCGAATGCGTTATGTTAGTCAAAGAAGCTCATGTAGAGTGGTGATTTCCATTCAATTGATTGTTTCACATTGATCCAAAGTGTTGAGATTGATGTTTACAGAATCCAGCCTATTGATCTTGAATTTGGGTGTCTACTGAATATTTGATTTCAGTTCAACAACACTGCCGTTATTTATTTCTGCCTTCTTGTTCTTCTTATCCGGAGTATCCAAAGAGATCTTTCTTTGTGGTGGTGGTGGTTTTTAATCCATTTCCAGTTATTCTACAAGGTATTTTCTTCTCCATTGAGTAGATTGTGAAAGGCCTGTTACTTATCGCCGAGAGCTATCTTGAATTTGTTGAGTTTAATGCTGTTCGCTCTGTTGTTCAGTACTTCTTGAGTCTCAGTTTGAACTTGGCCACTACCAAATGATGATCTGAAGCTGTGTTGGCTGCTCCTTTGGTTCTCATGCCTTCCATAGTCCTCAACTTTTTACTGATGCAGATGTGGTCGATTTTGTTCTGTGTGACGTGATCCGTTGAAACCCATGTAGTTTTGTGTATGAGTTTGTGTGGAAATAGTGATATAAATTCAGGTAAGTTTAAATATCGACTAAATTATGGTCGCACACTCATCGAGATTAGCAGGATGGTATAATGCATACTATCCTATTAATTTCAAAATTCTTTTTCGTTTGTTGTGAATCAAGAGTGTGTGAGTTCAACAACAGAGATAGTTATAAATCCATGGCTTTCTTAGTAGGGAGTTATTGTTTTGAGATATCATTGAACGCAGACTGAATAAATTAACATGTAGGTAATAATAACAGTGAATATACATTTGTGTTTTATCTTACAATTCTATATATTATTCCTTTTTCGAATTTAAAACTTTTCATTGGTTTGTTTCATTTGAATTCAGCATTATGTTTGATTTTCATTTATTTCTATAGATTCATCTTAACATTTTGACTATTGATATTAAGTTTACCATAAAATATGATTCTGTATGCTGAATTGGTTATTATAAACACTAGCTTATGTAGATGTCGAAACGTTTTTGTTGTGTATTCAGACTGAATAAAGGTAGAACTCAAATTAATTTCCTTTTATATACACATAACTCTCGCTAATCGTTGAATGATACAAGAACTTGTATAGTTCCTTTTTTTGGTAAATAATAATCTGTAAGAGTATTGTTTTTTTTTAAAAATCTGCTGTACTCTAAAACTTTTTCTTTTTTTTTCCTGTATTTTCTCGTCCAATAGAGTAGATTGGTTCAATGAATTTTATGAATTAACATCTTATGTCATTTTAAAACGTTTCGCAAATCCAGATATCATCCGATCAACTGAACTTACTGTTGAACATCCTTCAGGTGTTTATGTAGTGCAACAGTCATATCCAAGTAAATACTTATTACATTCTCCGTCTTCCCATAAATGTTCTATTCAATATTTTATAACTTTGATTTTAATTATCTTGTTCTAGAAAGGGTAGACTTCATATATGTACTTTTAGTATGAGGGATTTGTGAAGATAGTAATATATTGACATTTGCGATCACGAAATGATCTTAACTAGACCACCATTGGAAACCTAGAATCGATAGATAGCCGTTTCGTCCTTGTATGCGTGTTATGCCTGCACGTAAACACGTCATCTTGATATACTTGAACTATTACGAGTTTACCTAATCGGAAAACAAGAACGAGGATCGAGGATCCGGCGACACGACATGCTACTCAAATCCGATTATTCCAACCCCCATATTGAGAAAAAATAAGAAGACTTCAATGTGAAGTAGAACCTGTATTCTACAAGCATCCAGAAAGTACGAGGTCCGAATCCAGAAGAGAATCAGGATCCCGGACTAGGGATCCGGGTCCTGGTCCTGGTCATAAAACGTTACAGATAATGCGTATTTATACATTTTGGTCGAATAGGAAACAGCATCGAATTCTGTGACATTGACAGTTAGGACGACCAATAGGAAGCAACATTTGAAGTGACATTGATAGTCAGGACAACCAATAAGAAACAACATTGGAGCACGTGACATTGATATCTAGGACGACCATAAAATTGACCAGTAGGAATTAACCAATAGGAATAGACCAATAATTCTCTTAGGATATTGGATGAATATCCTAACAATGCGACTCCTCAGTAGTATGCATCCATGATGTTGCTCACAGGAACCAAAGCTGAGACTTCCGGTTTGGCACTTGAACGCTAAACCTCTAGACCACTGAGCCGGTATCCGACGGTGTTGATGTCTAATCGCAGTTAATCCATCATCTTCGGCAATCATTCATCCACTTTTTTGCGGTGGATGTCTATCATTTATCCTAAATACATATATCGTAATTAATTATACATCAATTAAAATTATTAGAATTTATGAATTGAATATTTGTTACTAAACATTGGATAATTCAATTTGACATAAATACACCTTGATTGATATTGATAGCGAATCCCTAAGTTTAGTTTTTTATTATGTTGCTTTTGACGAGCCAAATCGAGAGTGAGACACCAGCTGATGATGTTGGACGAACGTTAACCTGTATCGCAAATCAGCTGAAGCTATTTATATGGACAATTCAAAGTCATTTCAGTAGCTCAGTGTTTTTTCTGTCTATCGAAGACCCTCTAGGTTTGTGTTCAAGCCATCATTGGCTTCTTGTTACTTCCAGCCAAGGGGTCCCCCAAAAAGAGTGAAACGACTGTCCTATGTTCCTCATATTTTTGCTTCTTTAACTGTGATAAGCTTAAGATGAGAATTACTGTAAATTGCTTGAGTAATATGATAGAGTGTTAGAGACTTGAAGTGAAACGGCTCAAAATCTTTTGCAATAGCACCGGTGCACCCATTATTTGCATTCCCATAAATTATAAGCTTCAAGATTCTTCATGACCTTTATTACTTTTTTAAATTTTTTTTCCACCTATCTATATTTTCTCGAATGATATCTTCGAAACCTAATATTTTCCATTACCATCAATCTGTTATTATCTCCGCTATCCTGGGATTCGGAATAATGATAATATGTTATGGCAACTTGAACTCATGTGCATACATACCAAGTTCTGCGTTGCACCTGACTGAGGTTTGAGTCACTGAGTGAACATTAACTCTGAGATCCAAATAGATCCAATTGAAAAGTCCCAAATCGGATGAAACGCGTTTCCTGGAATCCACTGCTAGCCACGTTCTGTTTATTTTATTCAAGCTATCAGTTTAATCTGTTTCTAAATGCAATATTTATATTATTTTCTTTTTAAGAAAAACAATTTTTGCACAAATCTTTTCTCAATATTTTTTTTTTGTTTTGTTTCAAGATTTACAAATCCATGATCAGACACATTCACTTCATAATAACAATAATGTTGTTCTAAAGAATATGTCTGTTCCTGAAAAACCTCAATTTAGTAGTTTCAATTATCCTACATTATCAAATATTTATATGAATTTAGGTCGTTCACTATCTGGTACACATTCATTTCCTAATTTTGTTGATTTGTCACATTTCGACTGGGTTATTAAACAAAATAATCTTTTGCCTAAAATGACATCTAAAGATATTAACAATTCCAATGAAATATTTCATTATTCAAGAATTAGTAATGTTGAATTGAATACAACAAAACAGGCGAAAAAAGTCAATGATCAACAACAATTGTCAATCAGTAATAATGTTGATAAGCAGAAAGATAAACAACACCAGAAACAACAACAACAACAAGGAAAAACTGTTGCTGACGATGACGGTGATGATGATGATGATGATGAAGATGAGTCTAGTTCAGATAGGTACAGTGAATGTTACTATTTTTCACTAAGCCATTGGCATGATTTATTTTTGAAATGATTTCATGTTGAAATAACTTTGTTTGGCCATTTGTGTAATGTTCTTCTTAATTGACTGTACCAATCGATTGTTACTTTGTGGTATGCTACAAGTGAATGTATCAAGTATTATTAATTACACATTAAGGGGGTGTAGGAAGGATTTGTTTGTAACCAATTTGGTCTCGCGTGCTATTATGGGTGTGAGGGCGATTGTCACTTCCCGGTTGCCCACACCGTGGAAGGTTGTTTCTTGAGGGACCTGAAAAGGAAGATAGATTAGTGTTGGTCTTAGAGACCTGGGAGCGTGACCACAGAGTCCAAGGGACAACTGCTTGAGGCCGGTCACGCACGGCCTTTTTACGAAAGGTTTTTTGAGTATCAGCTCCGCTCTTAAAGGCCCTTAGTGGGCACCCTTACCCAAGGAGACGGAAATCCGTGAGGTAGGGTAAGGTGTGACATTTCTAGGGTCTACCATTTCTAACCCTTCCTTCCTTGTGAGAAGGCAGCATCGCTGCAGATGCTGGTTGTCCGAGGGAAACACCTTACTGCTGTCACACCCCTCTGCAGTGAGCAGTACGACTTCGCCCTCAGACCTTGGGTAGCTGCTTTTCGTCTGATCGTTCTTCAATCGACCTGCCTGGCATGGTAGAACCTTCAGGAATATAAGTTCCAGCCAATATAGCTCGGTTGGGTCATCACGATAGGCAAGCCCGACCACCACGTCAAGGTAGCAGCCACGGTCAACTGGTGTTTAGAGACCTTGAATGATATGGATCAGAATCGTTTGCAATGGCGCTGGTGCATCCAGTCTCTATGTTCTCCGAAATTCTAATATTCTGAATTCCTCATCATCTCTATCTTTCTCTTTCTTAAGTTGTCTCTCTGAATCATACTTCTCGAATCATATCTTCGAACCCTAATCGTCTCGATTACTGATAATACTTCTATTGTCTCTTCCACTATCGGATTAGTACTGACAGTTGCGTCTTTGTGCTTATGTGGTATGACAACCTGAACTAATGTACTGATGTACGAAGTTCTACATTCTAACTGACTGACTGATTGATTTACACATTAAGAACTAAACAAACTTGAAAGTTTGTCATTCTTATCTCTCTAGTTACAACAAATCGATTTCTTTAAATGATTTTTTAGAATACATACTATTTACACTTATTATATTTTCTTTACTTCGTAGACATTCAAACTAAGCGTTAGCTTAGTGATTGATGCATATGACCTTAGGTTACTAGGTTGCAAGTTTGAATCTTTTTTTAAAGGTTCGAACAGTATCATTATTTCATATACAATAAGTGTAATTGGAAGATAAGTATGGGAAACTTAATGTGGTTATCGTGTTACATTTTTGTGTAATCAAATGTTAGTATTATGAAACAGTATTTCATGATTTTACAAATGAATTTTTAACTGTTACAATGGAAAGGAAATAATCTTGGCAAATAAACTTTATTCAATAAATCAGTGTAGTTGAGTGTTTAGCTACTCAATAAATCAAACTATTGACATAAGCCCCCAAATAAATTGATCTCACAAGACAAGATATGTAGGTGCCTAGTAGAACAGGTTGTGATCAGTTAATATGGCTGTAAATAACATATTAACAGAAAAGTGATCATGATTAAATGACTTAGCTGATTGAAAGCAAACATTTTTACACATCAGTTATTCTGTTATCAATTCAGACCTTTGTCATCATAAGATTATTGATAAAGTACTGTTTATTATTAAATCTCTTAACCTAATAAAATAACCTATCCTAAAAGGCGATAAAAAAAGATGTCTAAAGTTGTATTTCGATAGTCATTTTAGTTAATTTCTATGAATTTAGTTGTCATTTTCAAAAAAAAAATACTGTTATCAACATTCCCTTTAAAGTATTAATACCGGTGTTAGTGGGACATAGAGTGGATTAAAGTATGATTGTGTTGCTGCACGCTGATTGCCTCTATTTGATATCCGATCAGCGGTAGCCAACACCGAGGGAACATTCTAGAATCTTTTCATGCAAGAAAACTATCAATATACTAACATCCTTCTTCTGTGTACCTTCTGTTTTTCATCTAACCTTGTTATTTGAATCCCTGTTTAACCGTCTTCTGATTCGGGACAACGTTTCTAGAATACTAAGCATTAGGAATAGCTGCGTTGTAATAAAGAGATAATTATAACAACAGATTATAAACAATCTAATTGCTTCCATTGTTTGATACCTCTTCCATTTTATAAACAACATTAAATGTTTCGAATAAATGATAATGACTACTGATAAAAAACGGAAGACAGTTCAGAAAAAAATAGACAGAATCGCTGAAAGAAAAGCATAGAACAATGACATGTTCAAAATTTTTAAAAAAATTAGACTATGTTTACGATTTTTTTTTGTTTATTCAATCCTAATTAGTTTACAGTATGAATACTCTCAATCTGTACAATAATATTAACTGGTCATTTCTTCATAGATTTAAAATGAAGAAGGCTTTATTATTTTATGCTGAATAACTGTAGTATAGTGAATAATTAGAGAATTCAATTAGGGAGTGATTCTTCTTTATGAAAACTATTTCATAGAGAGAGAGAGAGAGAGAGAGAGAAAAGATCTTTTATAAACTGCTGTGTGTAATCATATCAAGTTAATTAATTCATTAATTCTGGTTGTTTATTCTTGTCTACATGCAAAATGGAATAAATAACATTTGACCTGCAAGATAATAAAAATTAAAGCTGTAATTGTACAGTATTAATATTAATGTAACACATTGATTAAGTACATTTCTTAGTATATGGCTACGATTGAATTAAAAACCAACATTTCAAGTCATTGGACTGCAACACAGAAATTCTGGTTCTTTAGACTCTTCGGTTTATGTTGTTAACTGGTTGAAATGGCTAGATTGCATAAATTTTCCATTTAAGCTTGTTTAAAGTTATATATAAAAACAGTACTACTTTAGATAAATACTAATTCTTTTCATTGTAACGCTTGCTTAGATAATTCCCAGCTAATTCCTATTGCTTAGTGTTCTCGACCACAATACACTGGACAAGTTCCAAAGAATCAAACACACGGTTGAACAGGAAAAGATTATATTCCAAATAGCAAGGTTAAATGGAATAAAAAGCCAAAGATGATGGCGAAGGCGAAAATAGATAGCATTTACATGAGAAGCTTCTGGACAGAAATTCACGTGATCGACTGGATTGGATTTAGCCAATCAGCACGCAGCTAACAGTACGAGAATTTTCTACCCTGTTCTCCAAGAATCGATCAGGCGCTGATTGGATAGGAAATAAGCCAATCAGCGCGCAGCTGACGCAGGCATGCTTTATTTCCATGTCCCACTAACACTTCAATCACGAATCGACTTTCATATTCTGATGTTCTGTGGATCAGTAAAATCTAGAATTCTGAGATTAGCCATTTCAGATTTTGTCTCTTCGTTTATTGTCAGTATAAGTTTGTTTCTTTCATCATGTTAACTCCCTCGGTCATATTCAGTAGTCAAACTGGAAAAGTTGAGACAGAAAATCCTAGCTTTCTCAATTCATTGGTACAGTACTTCACCCAAAAGCTCACCATCTATATTCAAAATACGACTAAACATTGTTAATGACTGTTACATAACATCGAGTCTTACATATGAATTGATCGTTTTTTTTCTCTTTTTTTCATTTTAGTAATTATGAAGAGTCAATAGATAACTGTATTGATTTCTTTCCACCTGATCTAAATCTATTCCAATCACCACTTGATTCAGACCTATCATTATTAATACAGTCAAAACGTGTACCTGACAAATATTCTGATTATAAAGGATACTCTGTAAGTTATCCGTATACTTTCAACTCGGTGAAACGTCAAAAACGCAAACAAACAATAGTAGGCCAACTTGTAAAATCCAAAGAAGATTCGGAATCAATCAATTTAAATCGTGTATCATCATCTGAAATCACATTAAGTTTACCAAATAAACAAATCTATGAAGGTATATAAATAATAATAATATTATTAATGATTATTATCAGTATACTGTTTTCTTTTTCGTAAAATAAATGAAACGATACTACCTGATCTTTCGTTTCTATGTTAAAATTTTTAATAAGTTTACTTTAAAATGAAAATAAAGTAATTCTCTTCAAAGTCACGACAGCTTACTTTTTTCACTAGGCATTTACTGGCAGTCATCATGAAGTTTTGAACTGGTGCTTTATTTTTAATTAGTGTGTTCATCAGTAGATCGTACATCCGATTTCGAAAGGATTCTTGTTGATTCGATATCTTAATTTTAATTCTGCTAATGCACTTCGCACTATGCCATTTAAACTTAACAATCCGGCAAAAAGATGAACAGAGTGAAGAAATCGAAGCAGGCGGTGTTGTTACAGGACCACTTCCCGAGCATTAAATCCTAAGTTCTAATCCGCGAAGGACTAGACCAACGTCAGACGTTGCAGTGCTATTATAACCGGTAACCAACAGTATGTTCATACGCCATTCGTTTCGTCAGAATCCTGAAGTTCATGTGCATGATTAGTTTTTTTGGATTAGGGTTTCCCAACGCCCTGGCTTGATTCTCCATGCTTACCAACCCGGTCAAAGCCCTTAATACTCAGTTTTCGTCTTATTTACTTGGTGAACAACACCCCTGCCACGGGGATGCAGTGAGTAAGACTTCTTTGGTAGTGGCCATATGAGAGCATTTCGAGTGAGAGAGAGAGAGAGAGTGGGCTCTTTCTACTCTCAGTCGTACCGGAGAACATATATATACATATTTGTATGATATTTCTTCGCTCTACACCTATTTACTAACAATGCATTTGATCTTCAAGAGTGCACAGCTTAATAACTAGAAATAGGGAGATAAACTGATGTGTTTTTTTACTTCAATTTAATTATTTTAACTTTATAATAATTCATTACTCTTTACAAGTCTGATTCCTGTTATTATGTGTTTGTACATACTGGTTAAAGATATACTTTGTTCTTTTGACTGGAAATTTAAAAGCAGTTATTACAATAAATCATTTATGGTAAATATTTTAAAATCTATTCAACAGTAGTAGTATGTCACAGAAAGTATACTAATTTCTTTTTAGTTTCCAAACAATTTTTTGGAGACTTTAGAACCTCAGAACTCACTTGAAAAAGGTCCTCATTTTCGATGTTTTATGTTTTAGCGCATGGGCTGATCAGTTGACTGTGAGACCACATTTGTCACTCGGACAATCCTTGTCTCTCATTGGTTGATGTAGTATTTTAGTACGCTATTTTTGTGGCTCTCACAAGGACGTTTCTATTATGTATAAATAAACTCGATTTATGTGCTTGTCAACCTCATATTTCTGGGTGCTTGTACAATACACTTTCTACGCCTGTGGTGGCCGATTTCGACGTGTTCTTATTGTTCGTGATTAGCTCGTCCAGACAATCGTTACTAAATAGCGTCTGACGGTTTATAAATCAGAAGGTGAACACAAAGTGTTGAATACGTTTATTTTTGACACACCACAAATAGAACAGCAGACTACAAGCGCTATAAGATAAAATCGTCATGCGAGCGTTGGAAAGCAGGCAAGCGAGTGAATAGGCGAAGGAAGCAGATGAAGCGATGTGGAGAAGGCTAATGAGCCAACTCCAAGCGATAAAGCATGACTAGGAATTAATAGTCAGGCAAAAATAAGACAGACATGTAAGCGAGTAGGCATGCACAAACATGAATACAAGTGACGAATGAGTGACAAGGTAAAAAGACAAGTGGGACAAGTCATGTGAGCTAGACATTGAATGGCTCACTACACGCCTTATCAAGACTTCTTCCTCTACTTAGTGGGACCTTGGGATGCTCAGATTAGAGTAGCCTATAGCGTCACTGAATCGTTTGTCTTCGCTCTCGTTTACCGACTAAGGTGAACTCGTAATAGTTTCAAGCATATCACAATTAACGAACAGAAGAAAATAAAACTTTCCTCTTGTTTCATCAGCTATTTAATTCTTTTATTCATTTTACTTCAGAAAAAAAAATTAAAATCCTATTCTGTCATAAAATAAAATCATTTTAATTAGGTTACTAGTTTCGTATTTTACCTCTTAAATTTATTTTTAAACTTTATTTATTTATAAATATATATATATGCACTATAGAGGTTTATTAAAATACAACGTTACATCTATATATATGTTATTGTATACTTTTCGAACTGGTAATTCAAATAAAGTAGTGTAAACAATAGTTTTGAACGATTCATTTAAACAAACAGCCAGTGGAAGATAATAATTGTATAGTTTCGTTTGTAATTACATTGAATTTTTTTCTTACCACCCATACAGAACATTTCACATGTTTATTGTGAACATCAATCAATGTCCAGTTAATAATCATCGCCTCTCTTCGTTATTTTTCACTTCAGATTATCTTCGTACAGATTTTACCAAACAATCAATACAAACGGTTGATAATGATTATTTTAATAAATTTGCTCATATTAACACTTTATCATCATCATCATGCTCATCCTCATCTCCATTGACTGTAGATAAGAATTCAATGGATATTTATAATGTAAGTTGTATGCATAATCTGTCACTGATTTTATTCAAATTTATTTTGTTCGACTATATATAATTCATTTGTTGCGTTTTAACCTCGTTGCATGTTTTTCGTATTAATGTATTTATTAATTCTCCTCCATATCGTTGATTCATGTCTTGTGCACATTGTGCTATGCTTGTTAGATTTAATATAAATAGAACAAATGTTATTATGAAATACTGATCAGTGCTATATGTGTATACTGTAAAAGCATGTTGTTTTCAGGTAATCAGAAAGACGTTAGTTAATTAGGTTAGTATGTGATTTTATATTGGTCAGTATTGTACAACACTTCTTTAGTTAGGTTTTCGACATGACTACTCCCATTATCTTGTGATCTGAAGTAGTCGAACGAGTAGACCGCATCACTTATCATTGCACCATCAGATCGTATAACTCAACTAATTGTGTCCTTCAAATGTTTTATTCTCTTTGTTGTCTTTATCGTTGACTAGCATAAGTATAAAGTTTTCTTCCTCAAGAGACAATTTGTGTCCGTTTACTATTGAGTCGATTTGGTTCTTCTCATAGATTTCTGTTGATCTCCAATGTCCGACAGAAATATTTAATTATATTGACTAACGAACAGTTCATTATCATATCATTCTATAATTCTGTTTCTAATGTTTCTATTTACATTTCAGAATTATGTTCAAATGAATAATATTGGCTTATGTAATATATCCAAATCGAGTATGAATATCTATAATGCAACAGCTTATTTAACATCACAATTGTTATATTAATTTAGAAGTAAAAGCAGGATTTTTTTTCAATGAGATTAATTTTATTTCTTTTACACACTGTCAAATGTTCAATATATTTCAAATGATCAACTTTTACTGATTACTAATTTTTTTCTCTTTTGTATTTTTTTCTAATTAATCTATGATCAAATAGTATTTTATTTTCATATTTCATCATATCATTCATTTATTTATGTGCATAACTAAACATAATATGTCAGTTTGATTGTGATTTTATTGTATCATTTAGTACCATCTATACTACTTACTAATGATAATTAATACACACTCAGTGATTTGTTAATTGGTTTCTCTTTGGTGTGATATGATGCACGATCATTGTCATTCAATGGTTGAAGACAGCTCAAGATTGATGACAGCTATGAAGAGATGTATTCATGCTTTATCTCTCTCTCTCTCTCACTCTTTTGAAAATGTTAAGTTAAATACAATAATGTACCTTAATTTGCTTTCACATTCATCCAAATTTGTTTCTTTTTGAATTATTTTCCTCGTATTCAGTTATCTGCATCTATGGATATGATAAGTGCTTTTTTTATTTTCAATTGTTTGATTGACTCTTTCGATAGTATCTGATGTGTATATGAAATTGGGGCTACTTGAACCCTTGGTGCACAGTTGTACCGAATCCTCTATTGTTTACAAGTGAATTAATTGACTGATTTGTTAAATGATAGCTATTTTTAATTTCAAATTAAATTACGATCACTGTGATAATTTTTTCCAAATTTTTTTTTTATAATTTTTACATCAGTACAAATAATTCCATTTATCCTTCGCTTTTTATGATTTCAATTGGGTTAGTAGTTATTCATGTTCTGATGATGATGATGATGATGCACAGTTTTTGGTTAAAAATGTATCACTTTAAACTAGTAAACGGTTTATTTTTTTTTTTTGGTAGTAAAGAGTTGTAATCAAGATTTGTA